TTGATTTCATAGGTTGCGGCCATTCTTGTCTTCGGGATACTGGCGGTTAGCAACGACGCTTCCAATATATTTCGAGGGATGAAGCAAATACCTCGGCTTTTGTATTATTTATTAACAGTGTTTTAATTAACATTTGAAAAGTATTTGTGCCAGAAATCACTGGTTCGCTGAAGAAAAACAGTTGGAAAATATGCGACCAGATTCACGTAGCGTTTCATTCACGTTTCACCGGGAAGTTCTGAGCGTCAAAAATTCACCGGAGATTACAAAAAAATTGAGACGACGCTTACAAGATCGTTTTGAAAAAGAAAAGCCTGGAAATTCGTGTAAGGAAAAAATGTCTAAGGATAAGCAAACAGGTGACCGTAGTTGGAACAACTTAACTCTTGGAAATATGTCAGCGGATTCCAGACGTGCTCTGCGAAGCGGAGCCGAAAAATTATCCAAAACCATATCTTCCGTACGCACAACTTTTGGAACAATTTCACAGGTTAGATAAGTTATAAAAGAAATAATAATAAAAATGGAGTAGAGTTTTACAATATAAGACTTTAAATTCAATATCAATATCTTTTTATTTATTATTTAGAAATTCAAAAGTTCTACACGTAGACGTCAAAGACTGGAGGAACAACAATCTCCTAACAGTATTTGTAAAATGCAGACTCCTCAAACCCGTTCTCGTCAACTTCTTGGTAGAACACCTACAAAACTTTATAGTCCTTTTGGCATAGAATCTCCAAGGCATACATGGGATAAAGAAAATACTGAAACTGCAGTACATAGTCCTGCAGGAATAAATACACGGTATATCCAATATAGGCCTTTCTGTTTTACAAGAGCTAAAGGATTTTCTGTGTTAAGATAAAATTTTTTTTTATTATTCTTTCTTTTAAAAGTTATTGAAATGATCTCTTTATTTCCTAGCAACGCATTCATAATTGCGTGCCTTGCGCATCTTACAATTGAATTATTTATTCATTGTTAGTTAAGGTAGTGATTCACACCAACGTATTATTATCCGTTTGACATATTATCTACGATATCAGGTTGCTTTACATGTACATGCAATGTATAATCTATTTATACTTTTTTATACATATTTATATCAATAATCATTATCATTGCAATATCGAATAAAGAACAAGCATAAGAAATTTTCTGAATCAAGCATTTCAGACAATCAATTTCAAGAAAATATTTAAAACCTTTGGCTAATCTAAAAAACAATCAAAGTAGCATTTAGAAAAAACATACTTTTAAATGTAACCTAACCTCCACAATTAACTGCCATGCATCATCAATCTTGACATATCATAGTACACCTAATCGTATATTTAGCTTTTCATTTATTTTAAACAAAAGATATATATCGATAAAAAGAAAATCATAATCGGATGGTTGCTATATTCGTTAATTATCTTTCGCTTGTTAATGTTACGAAACGGCAAATCGTAGTAACTTTGACGACTCAATTCAATAGCGAGTAAAATCGAGGTGCAATGAAGTTTTGCAGTAAGTTTTTCATGGTATATTAGTATTACATGAACGAAACTAATTAAAGTGTTTAAAGCAATCTTAAACGCGGGAATTATAGTAAATTTCGTCAAGTTAGTGCGCACGTGCATGTTGGTAGCGCAGCCGTGAAAAAGGAAATCTGTAAAATGCGCCACTGCACCCGAAAAGCATCGTGAATGCGACACGATCGACACACGAAAATGAAAAATCGCCCACTACGATAGAAGATACTCTTAACACTTTGTGTTATGTTTTACGTGTGCTTGTGATGGCTACGCACGAGCAAAACGATATGAATCTCCAAGCGGGGTAAGTTTTCCACTTAAACCTAGTTTCTTAGTTAAAATCATTTTGCAATAATAAAAAAATTATAAAAGTATTTCTATGACAATCTATTGCGTTTTATTAGTTGCAAAGTCTAAATCGAGGTTAGAAATGTCGTGTTCATCGTAGTTTTAATGCATGAATCTTTTGTTTACGTATTTACGTAATGCATTCGTATTTTTGAAAATTTGCATGATATTTATTGCATTGTTAATTTTGTCTTTGCACTCTCAACGGCAAATTAAATTAGATACTAAATTTTAATTGAAAGAAAGGAAAGGTCGTGTTAATTTCATCGAAAACAATCTCATGATGGCAGTACGCAATAGCGCAATGCAGTGTCTCACGAGCTTAGAGTAGATTAAATTTTTCAAATATTCTTTACATGTAAACAGAATATTAGCGTTTATTTTTTTAATAATTATTAGTAGATGCATAGCTTATTTTGATTTGTGTTGTCCGATTCTTATTTATTGTATGTAATATGTAAACAGAATAAGCAAATATAATATACATAAATTTCAACGATTAAAAAATAATTTCATTTTCTGAAACAAAAAAAGGTATAAAAAAAAAAAATGACGACCATAAGCTTCAAGAGGAACAAAGTGTGTTGTTTTCGGTTTCATAAAATTTGATTAGTATAAAGTGTATAAGCTATTCAGTATGATGTTAAATTCGAATTATATAAAATTGCATGTTGAATTTTCAATGTTTGCAGTAACTTATTAGGAGGCATTGGCAAGGTACGTTTAACAAAAATTTTCTGCAAAGATATGTACACGCATACAAGTATAATATCAAGAAAAGAAAAATTTAATTTTTCGTCAGTAATTTAGAAGGAATATATGTATTTAGAAAATGGTGCCATAATTTTCTCTTATATATGAAATAATTATAATAATGATTAGAAGCAGGTTAATTGTAAAAATGATGATCGCATATACATTATTTATAAAAATCACTGTGAAACGAATAGAATAATAGAAGAAATAGGTCTGATTTGTGTAAACATGCGTCAGAAATTTAGGCGGGATGCCCTGCCTCATGTACTTCTCCATTGTACAGAGCGTCTCATCTGATATGAGGTCAATATACTGCATATTATATACTTCAACAAAAATCTTTAATAAAATATATGTATTACTTTAACTGATTAAATTAAATATATTGTTATCATAACATTTTTTATCTGTTGTTAATAATATGAAGTATATTTCAATAGTCGGAATTAATTGAAACACTCTGTATCTTTCATTGGTGTAAATGCCGTAGTGGGGTAGCGTGCCGCGAGAGGGTGCCGCGCGAGGCAGGTCAGGGCTGGGGCTCAGTACGTTTGCGTACGCTGTGTTGTTCAAATTGTGTGACGTTCCTCCGCGATTCTTCGCTTGCTAACTTTTCCATTCTCTGTGTATCGAGACTTTTGGCGTTAAAGTAACGCAGTGCTTCAAGCACTATTAAGTGTAATAACAAAGTGTATATGGTTCGCGATGGTGCAACGAGCTTACATAATTGTTGGCGTGTACTAAGCAAAGTTGCATATACGCGCGTGATACGAGTGAGTGCGTGTTGCTCTTTTCGCCGATTTTCTCCTACTATATACGGCGTTCTTTAACTACTATTTTCCCGCTTCGGTATGTATATCTTATTCCTTCGTTTCCGTTGGCATATCCTTACATTTAGTGAAGGTTTATCTTTGAGTTTGTCCATCCTTTCCCCTCGCTCCGGTGCCCTCTTTTCCTCTTACTCCCTCTATATTCTGACAGCTTGGTCGATTCACAAATCTGCCGGGCTATTTTCCCGGGCTTCTTCAAAATAAGGCAAGAAGTTATTTTTTATTACCAAACTTCGAAAATTAATTTTCAATTTTAGCCTTCCCCCTCTCCTACCTCTTTTTTCCTTTCTATCGTGGACTCGTCGGTTCCATATTACGACATCGAAAGGATTTATCACTGATTACTAATGAATGACATTGAAATTAAGTAAACCTCGTTACTGCTTGATCGAGTCGATAATAAAAATTGAGCACGGTGCGTAAATAACAAATAAACCAAACATGCATGATCGAATACGCGGAAGTTCTCGTCAACGAAGCGTGATCTTCTCCCCTCTTTTTTCACAATTCGATGAACGTGCTTACGAGACTCAAAGAGAAACATTGGTACATTGTAAAACAATTCTATTCTAGAGAATACTATGTTTATTGTTGCTTACTTAAAATCAAGTGAAATTTTATAAATTTATTCATCTACATTACATTTTATCTATAATATTTTCACATAAAAAGGTTATGATACACAGATATTTTACTTATTTTTGCATTATATTTGTAGGAATAGTATACAACGAATGGTGGAATTAAAGTAGAATCATATGCATATTTTCACATGCATAGCTATTTAGTAGTTACTGTTCACAAATGAAATTTTCTGTTTGGTTTCACAATTGATATGCTACATATTGGTTTGATTTAGTTCCTTTCATTCATGGCTATTCTTGCTGGTTCTATTTTGTCCTTACTTGCCTTTGTTTGTTTGTTTCTGACACACAGGTTTGGCATCATATATATATATATATATATGTATATATGCAGATTTATTTTCTATTTATTTTGAACCGCTTAAAGAAAATGAGAGCATTCAAAAGTGCAGGCAGAGCAACGATCATGGCATTGCATGGGGAAAACGTAGTAATGATTTTGTTTATATTTTTTGTATTTGCTGACCCCATCAACGATTATGCTGGGACATATCAGTTGGAGTACGCAGCAGCCAGAGCCGCAGAACACTCAGCCAGCAGTGACAAATCAGCAAGAACTACAGAACCAAACAGCAAGTCAGAAAGTAGAACAAGAATTTACTACAATGACAGATCAGCGAGAACAGCAACCCCAGCCACAACAGCAACAACAATCACAACAGCAGCAAACCAAAGGAAACGAAGAACCAAGAACAAATTTGATCATCAATTATCTTCCACAGAGTATGACAGAGAAAGACCTTTATAGTCTGTTTGTAACTATTGGACCTGTGGAATCTTGTCGTGTTATGAAAGACTACAAAGTAGGTTTAAACCTATAAAATATAAAGTTTTGTCTATCTATTTTTATGGAATTTGCATTTATCATTTTATTTTATAGACAGGATATAGTTACGGTTTTGGATTTGTTAATTATGCAAAAGCAGAGGATGCAGCTACAGCTATAAGTACCTTAAATGGGCTCCAAGTCCAGAATAAAAGGTTAAAAGTATCTTTTGCGCGTCCATCTGGTGAAGAGATTAAAGAAACTAATCTTTATGTAACAAATTTACCAAGGTATTATATATAATACAAATACAATTTAATATAACAAATAAATAGTGACAAATAATAATAATAATAAATAAGTAGTATAATTTAATATACACTTATTATATCTATTATATTTGTAGATTTATAAATTTAAATCTTCTTTGTTTCAGAAATATAACTGAAAGTCAGATTGATGATATATTTAGCAAATATGGAAATATTGTGCAAAAAAACATCTTAAAAGACAAACTCACTGGGTTACCAAGGGGTGTAGCATTTGTGAGGTATGTTTTTTTAATATTCTTTAAATTATTTGATATTATTAAGTATTCTTGTAATGTTTTGTATTTCAAAAAGATAGTGGTTTTTAGCATTAAAGAATGAATTGCTATGCTAATAGAAGGTGTAACATATTTCTTGGCGTACTGCCATTCTTGTCATATGTAATTCAGTAATATGCTCTAATCTGGTAACAAAGAAATAATCTATTTTTTCATGCATTTACTTGATTAATTACATTTTGTTGTTTCGCTTTATATATATGGTATATGTTTGGAAAATGGGGATAAGTATGAGTTTATAACTAACAGATACAACTGTTTGTGGCAGATAAGAAGTGTCTAGTCATTATGCAATTCGTATCCATGGATACCTGTATTTATTTTATGAGAATTTTGCTGCCAAATTATTTTTGTACAGCTCTTACGTCGCGAGATTTACTTGCATAATTTTGACTTACTAACCAGTTAGCTATGTGGTTGACCCAGTTAACCATCTTGAATTGTGCGTCCAACGAGATTTGTAGTTTGTTGTAGGAAAATAGTTCGAAAAGTATGTCAACGAGCTGAAAATAGAATCAAAACCAGTTTGACAATTTCTTAATTTTGGCAGATTTTAAGGACTCGTTAACCGGCATTCTAGATTGTTCGTTAGATCATTCTTAATAAATCTCGTATACGAGTATGTAGATATCTGGCAAGAGTTATCGTGTTCGTTGCCAAATAAGTTGAGTCTTAAGTTTTCTTTGTTGTTACTGTGTTTTTATAGATTCGACAAGCGGGAGGAAGCACAAGAAGCGATCGCACGATTACACGGCACGATACCAGAAGGTGGATCAGAGCCACTTAGCGTAAAAATCGCGGAGGAACACGGGAAACAGAAAGCGGCGTATTACGCTGGATGGCAGGCTGGTTACAATCAAAGTCGAGGTAAGTAGTTTCGATTTTTACGATAGACTATTAGTCTTGCCCGAGTTTCTTTCATTTTCAACCTGACAGTAGAAATTATTTTTTAGAATAATAATAAAGTGTCAAATATGAAAATAAGAATTATTTAAAACGTTGCTATTGGATCCTTAATGTACAAATGATCATGAGATAGGTTGATTTTTACTGACAGGTGAGATCTGCATTTTGGCTTTCTATGAATCTTACTAAAGTCGCAGTAAACCATTGTTTCGTTATTGCCATATTGTTGGAACTGTAGAAGCACCAAAATTTAAGAGATATTTTTTTTTTTTTTTTTTATAATAGAACGCATTTCAATTTTTTCCTATCTTTCTCTATTTTTCTCTCCTCAACTCCTTATTTTTTCAAATTGTCATGTTCATTTTCTTCATTTCTTTTCTTTCTCCGCGATGATACGTGTGCAATTGTGAAAACAGGGTAACGGTCATTTTAACAAATTTTGTAACGTAGTTGCAAGGTGTATAAAATTTCTGTATCTTTTTGAAACACGTTGTCTAGGATGCGAATGATCTTTTGATTAAAATCATTTAGAAAGAACCTTCGTATCATTGACAGCGTGTAAATATGAAAACATGTCTAATATTTGAATTGTTTGCCAGATATGGCTGCATCTAAGTCAAAGTACAGCGAAGATTAAAAATGCTGTTTGCGTTCTAATGCGCGCAACGAATAAGGCAGCAGATTCTCTGCGAATATTGTGGAGACACGTTTCTTGTCGCGCCTGTTTTGTTTCTCTGTGTTCTCTCTATTTCTGTTACAAGTTTTTTCGACGTTGTGCGCATGAGATTGTTTCACGTGTAATTAAAAAATAAAGAAAAAACAGAAGACTTCTGGCAGTGGTGTTAATGAAAAAAAGAAATCTCCTTGCAGACGGACACAAAAAAAAAGAATAATAAAACTGACAAGAATGCAGATATGTAGTGTCACTGTGATAGAAATGTTTTTGTGTGTGATGATCTTTAGTGGACAAAAGCAAGAAATGAAAAGAAAAAAAAAGAAAATAAAAAGTTGTATCCTGCTAGAGTCAATGGCAGCTTGTGGTTATAAATGACAATAGAGAAACACTCGCTATGTTGTATTCTGCACACAAGGCTGGTTTTTTAGAAGTTTGTTTTTTTGGACGTTGCCTGGTCAACGAAATTGTAACTCTGTTTTTCTAGTTGCCGATGCTGCTGTTACTATGTTGATTTTGCCTCGTCGTTTCTCAAATTTGTTCAAACCACGCTGTGGAGCATCATCCTAGTTCTGTAACATTTTTGTGTCAGCAATTTATTGTATAATTACGTACGTCTTTAAGCTGTTTTTTTGTACTTTCTTTTGGCAAGACATGCCACTTCGTATTACATATACATATATGTTTTGTTACTTATTTAAGACTTTGGAAATACATTTTCTGTTCAAGAAGAAATTTGTTACTCCCTCTTCTAATCCTTCAATAATGAACACATGAGCGACTTTTTTTTTTCTTTTTTTTTCTTTCTAATTATAATTACGTAGGGTTTAAGGTTTTTTTAAAACTCAAGATAATTAATGAGCGCCTGTAGTTTTTATGTTTAATGGAAATATGTATTTTTTGAGTAGGATTCTTTGTAACATGATCTGTGATTTGCTTATACACTGCTCGAAATGACGGATATCATTAAAGTAATGTATATGTAAATTAATTTTTTCACGAAAAAAATATATTTTTGACGCATATACAAAATTTGGAGCAGCGTATAAAAGTATGTAACTCGCCTGACACATGAGTTGTTGTATGTCTGCGAATAATTATTATTTGGCGAGCATCGTTGCTAATCCATGATTAGTTCTGGTCTGCAATTCAAAGTGCATTTGCAGAAACGTGTGGCTTTAACAGAAAATTTGTTCAATGCATGGCTGTGTCCTCTTTCAAACGATTACCATGTACAGTAGTGAATAAATGTATTTAGATAAATAGTTTCTTCTTTGTGGCTAATATTTAATTAATTTTGTGTTCTATTTACTAGATGGATAATAAATTTAAATAGATGCAGAGTATTTTCATACTTAGCATAGATTGAACTATAGAATTTTACTATCCACCTCAACGAAACTATTTGTCCAAATACATTTGTCTCATGTGTTTCGTATAAGTCTTTAACATGAATCATTTTCATTTCTATGCTCGCCAATCCACAAAGGAGAACGTCTATATCCGACCAGGAATAAATACCAGCGTTATGCGCATTACCTTTATTAAAAGAAGAACGCAATTTCTTGTTTGGTACTCGTTGTTACCCTTGCAGTTATGATACCATGAATTCCTATTGGTATGATGAAATTGGCATGATTAAGTGCGTTTAATATCAGCACAATTGTTACCACCGTTATTGTAACTCGTGAAAAAAAGATTTTTAGAAATAACGGAAAACAAACTTTGCTTTTCAGTTACTTTGGAATCATATATATTTTTTCTATATTATCGTAATTTCATTCAATTTGACTCTTGTATCATGCGATAAATTGTAAGATACTTTAGGTTTGAACCTGATTTCAATGGAAAGCAGAACTGTTTGTAATTCAATGAAAAACCACACAATTTGCTCAAAAGATGTAAACGAGTACTTTATGAACTGTGAGAGAACCAGTTTGTGGTTCTAAGGCTCTCCTGTAAGAAGGACTAGTTTTATGATTCAGCTTTACTATTATAGTTTTGCTGATACTAATTGAATGTCCGCAAAATGCAATTTAACACTTTGACCCAAAATATAGTAAATAATGATTTAATCTTATCACTATGTGAAAGAAAATTATTTGGAAAGTTGAAAATTTCTGCTTGAAGCGAGTGTTAGAGTATAATATTTTTGAGGTCAACGTGTTAAATGAAATATGAATTGTTTCTGAGTTTTATTTAGGTAGAACAATTAAGTTACACCCAATTTTACAACAACTTTGAATAGATGGATGAGTCCCTTCTTGTAAAGATTTCACAGTTTTTACGACTGTCTTATTAACCGATAGTCTGTTCGCGTTCACTGATATCGACTCCAGTGGACTGTATAGATAGTGAAAGTATGTATAAATTATTCATTCTGTAAGACGATCGGGATTATTCATTGAATTCATTGTATCGTCTTGTAAAAGGATGACCCTTGTCAATGAAGCTAATTGTCTTCTAAAGACATTTTGGACAGCAGGCAAGCAAATAGGTTTGGGAAGAAACGTTGTTGAACCACGCTGATGAGAAATCGTTGCTAAAGCAACATTAAACGAAAGAATAAATGATAATTGACCGGAAGAACAATGGTGATTTTTCCATATATATGAAGTTAAACAATCTTTGCTGTTATTAACTTTCGTCCTTTTAATGCTAAATATATAAATAAATAAATATATACACACATACACACACACACTTATATATGCATATACATGTGTGTGTGTGTATATATATATACACACGAATCGGTCGAAAAAATTATGAATTTCGAATTAGCTAGAATATATGAGAAACACGCGTATCTCTTTGGACCCTGACAATCGTTCCTGTTTTTAGTCGAGTTTTCGCAACTGTCCGAAGTATAATTACGTGGACGCTTTCAATATGGTTCGTATAAAGTTATAAAATAATAGATCGTAATAGGATTTGCGATCCAGCTCGGTCGTATATTGATAATACGTTCAGGTGCTTGATATAATTCAAAACAGGAGTGCATAACCTTCTTTCAATCGTATCATAAATCATTTCCTTTGTTTTAGTAAAATTAATAATATTTTTTAAAGCATTAAGATTTTAATGTGCGGTATTGTAAACGAGTAATTCAAGTTAAACGATTATCAAGTTTACTCGAGTTTTTACATCAATTTACAAATAGTCGCATCTCATCTGGCAACATGTATGTATATAGAAATAAATTAATAACATCAATTTTGAAAACTTATCGTTTTCAATACTCTTTAAATAAAAGCTGCTCTAACAAGGCTCAAGCGACACCAATGACAATTAATACACAATTAATACATGATTAATGATAAAATAAGAATTAATGTTGTGTACTCCTGATTAAAAGCACAAATTGGCATATAGAAAATCGAAACTCTGTTAGGAATTTAATATTGCGAATGCGCCGGTATTTGAACCCTTTTACACAGAACCATGTCTGTTGTAAAATTCCTGTCGCCGCAAAATTTCAGTTAAATAGCGAAAAAATGATGTTGCTGCGATAGGGATAAAAAAAGGAATGATGAAAAACAAAGATGGATAATTTAACAGTGAGAATTTAATTAGTACTTAAGTTAGTCAAATTAACGAGTAAGATTTTCAAATATTCCTTTAGAATATTCGTGCTACGAAGTGAACTCACGTTATTCTTTCTAAAGAAATTTGAAATGAAAAGGAAGATTCGAAATCGATACAAATTTAAACGAGATTATTTTACGCAGGCACAAATTTCCTAGAAATTAATAATGAAATTTAAAGGGATAAAAAGTATCATTTCGTTAATGCTGGATAAAAGCAATAAAAATTATGTTTATATAAAAAAGAACGACGTGAGTCTTTCAATGTAAATAAATCGAAGTCCTAATTTTTAACTTAATGTATTAAGTAGTAAATTGTAAGGTTTAATGGATTGAAGATTGTGCGAAATGGTTATAATCCCGAAGTCCAGTAGTGCTAATGATGGCTGTGATATGGAATAAGGAATAACTAACAAAAGAATGAACGAAAAAAATGGAGTATCCGGAGTATACAATGGATAAAACTTGCTTCTCTTTTCCTCGCTCTCTTGCTTTTTTCTTCTTCCATCTTTTTCTTCTCGAGTCAAAAGTCATAAGAATTTATCATCTGATTTCTATACTGATAAATTAAAAATGTTATTTGAGGCACTCCAAAATGAGCGTTGATCAATTATTGCACGGAATATAACAAAAATTAAGGAAAATGTGAAAATTTGTTTATTCGTGCAGATTTTTATAGTTGACACGGGAGCGATGAAATGAATGAAAGACAGAGAACTAAGTTTCGGTTGAAAATGCCTGCGACATTCTCAATAATACATTCATCGTATTTTTCTCCTCTTCAGAAGCGAATATTAAGAAAAGAAAACAAAAAAGACGAAAAAAAAACAAACAAAAAAAAAACGCAGTTCTATGATCAACATTTTACTGTAATAAATCGATCTCATTTTAGCGAGAACTAGATTCAATTCTAGTGTTTAAAATGATCGACATTTGCAAGATGCAGAGTGAATCGGAAGTAACGTTATCTACGCATCATATGCAGCACCCAGAAGAGATTGAATCCCCTCGTTAAAACTAATCATAATTATCAAATATAATTGTTCTTCTCGGAACAAGTGTTATTTTTAACCGAAGGAAGCGTCTCTTTTCTATTTCCTGCCCACTCTGTACATTTGCAAACAACACGTATACATAATACACTCACAGGACACGTTGCATTGATATAGTAGAGAGCTACGACTATGTACATGGTATATGGGTAGATTAAACAACAATCGTTGTACGAACATTTCGATTTAAACGTGTTCAGCGCAAGAAATACGGAGTACGTGGATTTGTTTCGAGAAACTGGCCTAACAAAATACGATGGCTTTTGTGCTGATGATCCCAGTTATCTGTGGTTCCAATATCACCATATCTCATCCAACAGAAGGAGCTTTAATTACTTGAAAATCGATAAGGAACCGCCATCGTCATCAGGACAAAACACGTTGCTCGAGATCATTTCAAACACGCCCCCACACAAGGATCTCATACCTTTCTTATCGTTGCTGCTACACGGGTCTGCGTGATTCTGTAGTCCCTCGTTAAATTTGATTAAAATAATTAGAAACCAAGGATCAGCATCTGTTTAGTTTATTCTATATACCATCACCCACTTTGTATTCTCACGTTTCCTTCGAATCATTCCATTCTTAACCTAAAAATAAAGAAAATAAAAAACGAAAAGAATAAATAAAAGAAAAAAAGAATAAGAACAGCAACAACAACAATTTCGAGCAATTTTCATTGATTGTAACAATGTTTTCAGGTGCTGGCGGCGGTCTTGGAGGTGGAGGAAGAGGTAGAGGTATTGGTGGACCGCCAGGGATGGGTATGAGCATCAGCGGGGGTGGTCCAGGAATGCTGGGAAGAGCAGGAAGTGGCTTTGGACCGCGTGGCGGGCCACACGGTGGTTTCCTGGGAGGAAGTGGCGGTCCTGGCGCCATGAGAATGGAAAAGATTCACCCTCATCGCTTTAATCCTATTGGCATGGGCGGTGGCTACGTGCAGTCACATTTCTGGTGACCTAGCGTCGTTAACGATCTGACTTGCAAGACCGCACCGGCTACGTACCTTTCTTCGTTCGACCGGAAACCAAGCAGCTGCGACCGTTGTCGTTCGTAACTCTGCAAACGAATAAGGAAACGTTTCCCTCGAGCGATCGTGAAGTCACACAGACATAATGGAAGGTGCATCGGGATCAAAAATGGCTGCTCCCACAACAGTATAGAGACAGATAAAGACACAGGGTACAAGTTGAGCAGCCTGGCGTTCTCGAAGTATGACTTCTTTGTCTCGCATGGCATTCAGCTCGAGATGCTTGAGGACTGACTGATCAAGAATGTGTAAATTATTACTCATAGTATTTAATGATGTTTCTACGTGCCTGTACCAAAGCTCAGAACACCTAGTATTGTAAATTTGGCAATGGGTATTCAGTTTTAGACTTACACGAACGTTTCAAAGTCATAGATACGATTGGAAGTTATTTTGAAAATCTCGAAACTATGGGTCCATTTGAAATCCTTCGAATAATACGAATGAATTTATTCTTGCTTTGTGAATTCTTAATAGGATAAAAGATTACGGTTATTCTATTTCTTTGTTAATATTCTCTGTAAATTATTTTGTTTCGAGATTTTCAAGACTCATTGGAAGAATTACTTCTAAGATATGTAATAATTTGTCAGAACGATCTCTTGATGGTGATTGAAAAGTATAATGCTGAACCCATCGCTATTTCTACGTCGCTTTTTATCGTTAAAACCAACTCTCCCTTGTCTAGCTTTAATATCTTCGTTCCATTGTACGTTTAAATTATTGGCGTTCACTCCCGCCGATTAAATAATGCTCGTCGAATGTTATAATATGTTAAGGTACAAAGAAAAAGGAAAGAAAAAAAAAAAAACAAAAAGGAAAAAGAATGCTTGGTCATCGAGTCGTCCATTTTAGATTGAGCGTAGTCAGACTCGGTGATGAAGTTATGTCGTGCAAAATTAGCTCTTGTTATCGCGCCTCTAAGGTCGTTAATAGATGAATTCACATAAATATCTATTTTTCTGGCAGTCGACATGCAATGAGGACTTTCCTCTTATCCTGTGTAATGTTTAAGAACATCATTATGAGGCACATTGCGGGCTAAACTTTCTAGATATTCTTTTATTTGATACTATTAAAAGGTGTTTCAAGTTTTGGACAGTGTATCGATTTTAGTACTCGATAGTTCGAAACTGTTCAAAGCCTTTAAATTTCCATTAAGAAAATATAGCTAGTTCTTCAATAGTGATTTAAACTAACTTAAAGAAGGTTGACTCGTGTTTAGAAATTTGGATCAGTTCTGTCTAATCTTACCTTTTGTTTGAGTGCTCTAAATATACCGTTTTGTGAGTATTATGTACAGTTACCAATTATTTTATCTTAATCAAGTATTACTTGTTATCAAGCTGAACCTTTACCTATCGTTAATAAATTAGTTAATTCTTATACTTTTAGTCGACAGTGTGCCTCCTATTATAGTTCAATTTGAATAAGGACATACGATACTCGTGGAACAGTTTTTCTCTTAGCTTTGTTCAGCTTTACGATCGCTCGAGTACTATAAGGCCAGTCAGAGGCTGGTTCTATTAAAAGAAGCCTCCTTTTTCCTTGATAGTTGAACATTTTAATACTTTTGAATGGGTAAACAGCGGGGAGGCATATTGAGGGCAGAAGCTAAGAGTTCTACATGTTGTTGTATATTTCCTTTTTAATGATTCTAACTCTTGAAACTTTATTGAACGTTTAACGTTAAGAGAAAGAGTTTTTATCGGAGTCAGCGTATAAGGAGACTGTGTTTCCTGTGCTCCGAATGGTGTTGGACCCCGGTGGTTGCAGAGAAACAACGTTGTTATGAAGCTTTTCATTTTTTTCCCTAAAACACCGGCAAAATATATGTAAAAGTCAAGCTTATTTTTTGTATGATTATGAATATGGTCTTTAGATTGCCATTCGTGTACTTAAAATGATTCAAGACATGGAAAGGAATAGGAAATCTGAAGCGCCATCGTTGTCCACTGGAACCGCCGTAAATTGTACATAAATTGTAATGGAAACACGTCATTATCACGGCACGTCATAGACAAAAATGAGACTGACTTTTTATAGGGGACAAATTTTACGCGAACAATTTTAAAAATCGAAATTGCCTTATTGTTATCACGAAACAAGCGCTAGATCTTTTTTCTTCGTCTATATTCCTTTGTTTTATTTCTTATTTCTTTTCCTTTTTTCTTTCTTCTTCTTTTTTCCCCCTCTCTTCCTCTCTCACATTACTAGTGGCAACAAATGAGAAGTGGTCACCCTCTATCGAAAATGCATTCGTTGCTGGCGTAATGAACCTGTTTATATTATTCGATGGCAAACATGTTATTTAAGAAAAAGAAAAAAAAAGAGCAAAGAAGAAAAAGATTGCTATAACATTTGTAGCAAACCTTTTCACGTTACTGACCGAGTCATCGTTCGTAATTTTCATAACACGATGATGATCACCAATATCATTTTGTTAACAATAATCATACGATCACTTTTTCTCCTTTTCTTCGTTCGTTCTCTCTCTTCCCCCCTCTCCCTTCCTCCTCCTCTCTCTCTCTCTCTCTCTCTCTCTCTCTCTCTCTCTCTCTCTTTTTTTTTTTCTTTCTCGGAAATTCGTAGTTATATAAGTACTAATTATTTAAGATGAAATAAAATATCTGCAAAAGAAAAAGTAAATGGAGATCTCCGTTGGTTGTGTCTGTTGATAGAGGACGAGAAAAAAAATAGTCAGCAAATTGTTCAGAAGCATGATTATTTATTGTAATTGCATCTAAAGCACGACTTATTACTTTTTTCTCGTTTGTTTTTTTCTACACACTTGTACAAAGAACAACGTTTAGCGATTGTTTACGACGTGAATGAAGAGAAAATGTACACTGATGCGATTCACTGAGTACGGTGTTGCCCTTCAAAAGGCAGCTTGCGTTTGAAAAGCAGCAAAGTGCCCGATGACGAGCCGCAACGTAGCTCAGTTTGGTATCATTTCCATAATTTTAAAACACTTCTAGCAACAATATTATAATGAAAAGAAAGATATTCCTTATTCAGTGTCCATCGTCACTGTTAATTTTCTAACTGGTAGAAAATACTTATACACTCGCATACACAATAACACTGAAATGTTCACGTTTAAAGAAGAAAAGAAGCAAAAGTAAAGACTGTTTCAGCTAATGATGTGGACCCTAGGAAGGGTGCTTTCTGACTGAACATGACATTCGAACCGAAACTTTATAACTGCTCGTCTTCTACATCCACAGAATGCTGCGGTTTAGAGATTAGCCAGCTACTTGCAAAGAGGAAACAGGAAGGGGCGGATAGCTGCACGAGATATCATCTTAGTAGATTTAGCGTTAACCATAACAAAGGCATGGAGATTTTGGAACATTTCCTTCTCCATGAATTCCAAGCTGGAATGAATAAAAGGTGCAATTTTCTATAACTTTTGCCTTGAATTTCTTGTCATTATTGAAATTAAGATCGTAAATTGGTTTAAAAGTTATACTCAAAATTCTGATTTACACGTGAATTTAATTATCTAAAAATAAATATTAAATGAGAACAGGATCTACGAGATAAACTAATACTTTTTGAATTTCTTTCAATAATCCTGTTATTGCAATTGAACTAATTAATTTCCATACCTTTAAGTCATTTAAAATATTACAGAAACTACTAAATAGCTTAGGCCAATGATTAGAAATATATTTCAATATCAGTATAAATTTCCTAAAATTGAAAATCAATGAATCAATATGTTCTGATTCTTTTACACGATCCTAGATTGATTTAAATCTTAATAAATTAATCAAAAGCTTAACATAAATAAAAGAAAATTTTATTTCTGTTTAAAAAATTAATCGAATTAATACGTTTCTAAGATTGACATAAAATATCACAATATGGCCTGAATTTTTTGCTTATAAAGCGCGTTTTAACGGGTGGAGCATTTAGAGAGAATTAATTAATTGTTTTTTTTTTGACACGGTAACAGAGGATTTTTTTAAATCGTTGGCCATGACCACTGTTGTTCTTTTCACACCCTCGTTTTGCTTGCATCTTTTTCTCTTTGTCGAATTTATGAAAAGCTGAAGGTTCTCTCGATACATAATAATTTACAGGTATTCTACTTTTAAAAATTATTCCGTCTTTTCTTTTTCTCTTTTTAAAGAAAAATTTGAAACAATAGAGTTACGAGCGTTAGCAACAGGACAAATTTTATCGTGAAAAGAAAATATGGAAAGTTGGCATGAAAAAAGACTTCTTTTTCTCGTTTGCTAAATAGTGATCCTTTGAATCAATGATAAATAATATACAAGTAAGATATATAGACAATGTAGAGATTGAGAAGAATATTGAAGATATTTATTTGAAAATAAATACCATAATGCATGAAATGCAAAAGTAGGAAAGACAAAATTGTCAACAGAGAACTTTCTTTCTTTTTGTCAGATAAACAATGTAGCCTGTAATCTTCAGCATCATCGACTTCTATGCTCACAGGGCGAATGATTGCGCAACCATAAGAGCCATGTGAGGCTTTTGAAACGCATTCAGTCGACCGGTTTACAGGCCTACCTAGAATGTTTTTTTTTAGCGAATTGATAATAATTCGATGTAAGTTCGATGAAAAACAGTGAGCCGATCGAATTAGCGAAATTAATCATTCAAAAGTTCTCGGTTATCGTTTGAACACGAAAAATTTTAATAAAACAAAAAGTAAGCCCTCTCTCTCCTCTCGCGCTACAATTTTACACTTTGGGTAGTAAAATTTAAAATAACTATTTCACAAAGAAATTACATCCTACGACTTCAGCTGGAATGCACGAAGATCTGAATTCACGATTACAAATATTTTGAAGATTCTTTACTAGAGCGGAAAAAGTTTGTCCAAGTTAGTATGATCGTTGTAACTCGGAATGATTCATGCACACCACACAGCGGTTGATTTTTTTTCGAGTGAATCAACAAGCTAGCGTCGATGTATTGCGCTATACACTTGGACTTATTTTTCGGCGTGCCTAAAATTGCATGTATTATGCTAGTACGCGTGATTTTTATTTAAAAATGTCGTTTATACGTTTCATGTATCGAGTGAGCCTATTTAAGACATATGTGATCAATTTGAAATCAAAGGGAATGAAGAAGAATTGGGAATAGCGTGACCAGTTAAGTCAAGCCTTGACCTGTCTGGAAAGTTCATTTACATTTGTGTTATAATTACAATATGCGACAGCTGCGACATCCGGAATCATTTGGAACGATAACTTTGTTAGGAGTTTTTCAATTCCTATTTTAATCTCTGATATCGAATGTGATAATTTAGTTGGAAAATTTCAAAGAGGTACGTTGTTATTGTTTAAACGCTAAATTATAAATCTAACTTAATAATATTACTTACATAATCAAAATTTAATAATCATCGTAGATGCTTTGAAACGTTTACGATAACTGGATTTTATCGGAACAAGTGAAAAATATCGAATCGTGAATTCTGCAATCTAAAAATCTAAGAATGGAAGTCTAACCGGATAAAGATGAAGAATAATTAGCTAGAAGATACTGCAATAGCAGACATATCCATGCTTTATGGAACCGATAGATCAGCTTACCAAACGCGTGGCCCACAAAAAGATATTTGTTTCCGCCCAGCCCGATATCCAAAGGATCACAAATCACAGGAAGGTTAGAGAAAGCTTTTAAACACTACCATACTAACCAAATACATTTTCTTCAATTACTTCATAATACAAAATTTGTTAGACTAACAATCTTTTCTCGTATAGAAAAAGAACAATTAAATAATCAAGATAAGAGTTAATTAAACTGAAGATCGATTAAAAATTGTACAGTTCGAAGTAGTTTTGTTAAGTTAAGTGTACGAAATTGAAGAAAACAGTATACCACCACCATCTAGTACGATGTTTCGAGGGCGACTGAACAGTGAACTTGATTTGCGGAACAGCTGCGGAGAAGGGAGGATCCCGAGAGAAAGAAACACGTGGTGCAATCTTCCGAATGAAGAGGGGACCCGCGACATTTGGACACGAAATGCGTGGTTTCTCTTCTCTTAGCTGGCCAATAGCATTGCCAAGTGAATCGCGAATTGAATTTCGGGTGCGTATTTAACTTTGATGTTAATGTGACTTGCAAACCTGTAACTTCCTTTATCGATGCATCAAACTGTTATTACACTTTATCATGTCACTTTATAATGACATTACGATTTACCGTTGTTAATTAGGAAACGCGTATGTTCTATTTCGAGAAACACGAAAAAGTTTATTTACGATGATTAGACAATTTTGATAGTTGGAGATTCGCTGTGCTTAAACTTTATTTGGAATAATTACTAATTTAGATTTAAAATTGACAAAAATCTCGATTGCATGAGATTAAATCGTACAGATTAAGTTTGAAAGGAAACGAAGTAAAGAAAACGGTTAACACGGTTTTGTGATTCATCAGAAGGCACATTTTCATCGCAAGTTTATCAGCTATTTGGAAGACCTATCTAAAAGAGAAAAACACGTAGGAGCATGGTGGAAAAACAAGATAAACAGAAGCATATGGAAGGGAAGGAGCAACGGGGACTGGGAAAGGGTCAGAGGGCAGTGTCCTGTGGCGAGGGGGCAGAGCCGGACCAGAGAAAAATTTGCATTTCCTGTTCACGATGAATAATGCTGTATGGAGAAATTGTAGTTGCTCGGTCAAATTAATTCAATAATCCTTGAAATTTCAACGAAAAGTCTATTCCTTAGAATTATAGAAATCATATCCTTGACCATCGCAAAACATTTGAGGTGGTTATGTATTCGCGTAATATCTTTATTGTTAACATCGTGGTGTTCTTCGTTTTCTTCTCTCTCTCTCCCCCTCTCGCTCGCTCGCTCTCGTTCTCTTTAAAGATTTTAATTTCTAAAATCCAATACGATCGTAAATTCGTACTGAACTGAGTTCTTCTTCTGTACGCCATGCAAAAAGGAACATTGGCTATTACTATTATACTTGTTCCAAACGAAGAAAGAAAACGAAGGAGATGGAATGTTTATGAGAACAGCTGCTTTTGCCCCCGGACTTGTTGCACTATACACACACTTAAGTAGGAGCCTTTATGATCGCTTGGTGGATCCCTACTTAGGTACATAGAAGCAACACGTGCGTAATGATTTCGGGGTAGTCTCCTATTGTTTGTCTTCTGATTATCGTTTTCTCTTTGAATATTTCTGACGAAATATATCTCTATATATGGGTTAATATTTTAATGATAATATTACAATAATTTGATTATAAAACTAAAATAGTAGTTAGCGTAGCTGTTTAAGATTACCCTTGTGGTATATTTTATAATGTATTGTCTATTTCTTATGACGTAGCAGTTGTATTCGAAGCACAGAGAGAAAGAAATAGGAAAAAGAATTTTCCAAAATGATCCTTTAAGGATACAACTTAATGGATAGAAAAGAGGTATATACAACGATCTTTGAAAGGAATAATGGCGTAACAGCCAACCAGTAGAAATGGAGCATACTTGTCTCTGTATAAAAAACACGTCGAAGCATCTGGAGTTTTGAAAGAGGGACTAGGAGGGGCTTGTGTAAAAACTGTTTATATAGCTTGCATGCGTGGGAGCAAGATTTTGCTGTCCCTCGAGAGAAAACGATTCTACTTTATATTAAAAAGATAATAAGAAATCACGAATACAAAATATTCGAAAATTTATTCAATATAAATATAAAAACAAAGGTATGAAAGTCACAAAGATTTATAAACACATGCATAAGTTGTGAAAGATAAAATACAATGAAGAGGGGTCATGTCGTCTTTCAATATTCTATAGTTATGGTCTTCGTTTTCAGGTACTCGTTCAAAGCCTCTTGACCAAGGTCTTTACCAAAGCCAGACATTTTGAAACCACCAAATGGTGCGGCCACGTCTGTCTTGTTATAAGTATTAACGAAGACTGTTCCAGCTTCTATTTTCTCCGCAAATCTTAGAGCTTTGCTTATGTCTTTTGTCAAAACTCCCGAAGCCAATCCATACTCTGTATTATTCGCCCTGGCGATCATGTCGTCTATGTTCGTGGAGCTAAACTTAGAAATAACCATGATAGGACCAAAAGATTCTTCTTTAGCTATGTACATGTCATCCTTAACATCTATGAAAATTGTTGGCTCGAAGTACCAGCCTGGACGATTTAATTTCTTTCCACCATAAATTAACTTAGCTCCCTCTTCAACTCCACGTTTTACAAACTCTAAAAGTTTGTTTAAATGAGCTTCGTGATTCTGTGGTCCATGAGCTGTGCTTCTGTCTAGCGGATTTCCTATAGAGATTTTTTTACTTTCCTCTATTGTTCTCGTTATAAATTCATCGTAAATTGTTTCTTCCACAAATATTCGACCTATATTTAAAGAAAAGAGAATATTTTAATTTTTGTTAATCGTATTTTTATTAAAAGACTTCTATTTAATTGTCCGATTACTATACCTGCGGCTATGCAATTTTCCCCCTTGTTGAAGAACACACTGTTTAATCCGACTTTGACTGCTTGCTGCAGGTCAGCATCTTCAAAGATAACTAAAGGACTCTTTCCACCTAACTCAAGGGATACCTTCTTTAAGTTACTGTCCGCACAAGACCTCATTATCGTTTGTCCAATCTGTGTAGACCCAGTAAAACCTAATTTCCTAATTAGCGGGTGTTCGCAGATCGCATTTCCAGTCACAGTGCCGTTTCCTGGTACGATATTCACGACTCCGGGTGGGAAACCAGCTCTTACAGTCAGTTCTGCGAATTTTAAGGCTGTCAAAGGTGAAGCTTGAGCTGGTTTCATCACTACGGTATTCCCTGCTGCAAGACAAGCTGCCATCTTCCAGGAGAGCATCATCAATGGATAATTCCATGGAGTAACCAGGCCACAGACACCAATGGGTTCTTTTCTCGTGAAGGTTAAATTACGATTTGGCCTGGCATGAGTTATCGGTATGGTTGAACCTTCGATCTTGTCGCACCATCCGGCGAAATATCTCCAGGTTTCTATGGACATTCCTACATGGGTCTTCAGGGCCAAAGTATACACCGCACCGGAGTCTAAACTTTCTATGGTGGCTAATTCTTCCTTATGATGCTCCATCAAGTCTGCTAATCTGAAGAAAATGTTGATAATTAAGTTAAAATTATCTAGCAATTGAGAAGTAACTAGTAATATTACTACTAAATTAGTTATCGATATATTAAAGAAATTTTTATTGTCAGATATGTACTTAAAAAGAAGCGCTCCACGTTCCCTAGCACTAATTTTGCACCATTCCCCCTCTTCGAAGGCCTTTTTGGCAGCTTTAATTGCTTTGTCCACGTCCTCTACAGAACCACTTTCTACCGAACAGATAACACTCTCGTCATGAGGATTAATCGTGTCTATAGGCTTCCCATGGCCATTTACAAATTCTCCATTAATGAATAGTTGTTTAGGAAATTTCAACGTCATGTTGTTTGCTTGTACTTCCACGGCATCGTATTTAACTTCTTTGAAAGCAGAAATACCTCTAGCTGCTAGAATTACTGTAGTGGCAAACTGGAGAAACACTGGAGCCATGAAGACATCAATGTTTTGCAGGGTTACTTCCAAGTTTTCCTTAACCTCTTCTACTAGTCTTACAACATCCATACTTCCTGCACCTGTAGGAAAAGAAAAGATCACGTATTCAATGTATTCTCGTTTCTCCAATATCGATAAAATCCGTACTCTGGGAGCATATCGATTAAGACTCAAGGTTTAATCATAAAGTCGCAAATGATCATAATCGACTAAATACTGTTCTTTGTTCATTCGATAATAAAACTGCATCCAATACTGCATGTAATAAGTAAATTACTTTATAAAAGCACATATAGTAAGAAATAATTGACACTTGATTTTATAGCATACCACATTTTTCACCACATACCACAAGCAAAGAAATCAGTGTCTCCGTTAACTTCCATCTTTAATATATCCTCCCATATACGCTTCAAAGTCTCCACGGTTTTCTGCTCTTCTTCGGTAAACTCAATGACAGTTTCCTCACTCTTCTGACCGAATTTGTTGGCAAGGATAGTTCTATTTCCAATCTTCATTCGTTCCACATTAACAAAGTGATTATCAACAGCTTTAATTAAAAGTCCGCCCGCGTGGACGATGCCAACTCTGTCATCCACATTTTCTTCGATCTCATGTTCCGGAATCTGACTGCCATCCCACAAAGTAGATCCAAATAGACGAACTTCTTCGCCATTAATAATAGTCCAGGCACCCGGAGTACTATCTAAGCCACGAATGAAGTCATGTACTTCTTTAGCAGACTTAGTCCAGTCTATCTTTTGAAGCTCTTTTTTATTTAACATAGGATCGTAAGTGGCTCCCTCATTCGGCTGAGGAATCATAGGGGCAATTCCTTTGGCTACGAGGTCCACAGCTTCTGCCATAGCCTTAATACCCTCAGGATACATAAAATTATTATACAAAGAGTCTAAAGTATCATTAGGCTCCACCTTGCACGATCGTTGAAGCAAGATTGGTCCAGTATCAAGGCCATCATCAGCCCAGAAGATAGAGAATCCTGCAGTGTCATCTCCTTCTATCAGAGTCCTAAAAAATGCGTAAGAATGTAAATTTATGTATAAGAAAATTGAATTAGAAGAAAGAATTATTGCACGGGAACGTCTGATAATATATCAGTCGCAATCATTACGCATTCACTGAACGAGCAAGTTACAAACAAATACGCATTGTACTCGAATAGCGCTACACGTGAAAACCGAGTCCAACCGGTTCCAAGATACGTGTTCGCTTCGATTTACGCTGCCACTGTCTTATTACACTCTCTTTCTTTCTCTTTATCTTTCTCTGCCCCCCTCCCTCCAGTGATACTACTTTAGGTGAATACAATCACGTAATATGTTATTATGGTTACTTCAACTGACCAACTAATAGCACTAGCTCCCCTGTGCCTTGGTAACAGAGATGGATGGTAGCATATGCTACGGTGGCGAGGATGATTAATGACTTCCATAGGGATGAATTGACTGCAGAATGGAAGCACATTTAAATCGACTTCGATTCCTTTATATAATTGGAGGACTTCTGGCAAAGTTACACCTTTGCTTCTCCAGGACTTGATTTTGAAGACTGGTATATTATCGGACTTCGCTGTTACAGCTGTAAAAATAAACGAAAGGAACGTGTGTTATTATACTGAAAAATTAAGATTTGTAGATTCGAAGATTCGATTTTTTCCTAGTATTTATTACCAAGGGCATCTTCTCGGCTCCCTTTGTCGGGAATGGTGAAGACCCCTGTGATCTGATGACCATTCTGTTTTAGAAGCTTATAGACTTCAGCCGCGAAAGGACTCTGACCAATTATGGCCACTTTAACTTGTGCCATTGCCGTCTAAATACATCAGATATTTTAGTTTTGTTTCAAGTAACGTTTAACGATTTGTATCATTATCGGGACAATTATAGTGAAATATTAAAATAAAAATATCCTAAACAGAAACTGTGAACAAAATTCGATAATTAACATATTATTAATATGTTGTATTGATAAACATAAATATGAATAGATAGAGATAGAAATAAATATATGAGAAATTATTATAATTCTTGCCATTTCACTATATTTCTCAGCATTCGATAAGCAAATCTGCCTTATGTTTTAATTACCGTAATGCAAAATATGAAGCATACCGATTGTAGCAAACGACTAAACACCATATACGTATACCATATACGTACCTATTTGCAAGGCATTTAACGATCTCTTCTAACTTTCACTGTACTTTCAAACGAACTGTAAAGAGAAGATACAGTAAGGAAGCTGTGCAAGGGGAAAGAAAATTGCTGTAAGATGGAAGGAAAAACAAACAAAATCTCGCTCCTAGTTCCATCTACCTTCACAATGTTATTAACGTTAGATTTAATATCATCTACTGTCACCCACCAATATGTTATCCCCAAGTGTCATTCTATTGTCTACCGTTTATGTTTGTATCAGTAGAGTACCAAAGCAGGGTAAACAGTAGTATTTACAAATTTTTATGAATTGCCTTACGGTGTTCACGACGTAGGAGCGTATCGAAAGAAAGTTCTTCAAAAACACCATTAGAAAATCGACGTCTACAGTTGTTTCTTGAGGGGCATTCACTTCACTGGCTGTTCACTTAACAGCCATCAACTGCCGCAGCTATCTGACTGAACTGTGCTAAAACGTAGAACGTTTATATAAGCTGGCTGTATCAGCAACCAGAGTCAAATATTTTTTGTAATCTTTCCTCTTTTTATCTCAATGATTCCGTTATTATTTTGATTCCAATCGATCATATGGGCATTGCGATGTCTCTTGTCACATGGAAAAATCATCTTACCGAATTCTACAATCGGCGGATATTAAATAACAGGGTAATGATTTAGTACTTCAATAATTTGTGTATTGGAAGTCAATGATCATTTAGATAAGAGGTATTCTAATTCTGGTATACATAAGAAGCAAATAATACGATTAAGTAATTATATAATTTATTAATTATTGAAATACATATAAGGATTATTAATAAAATCCGAATATTTTGGCAACGATATTATTCGTTGATGATAAATAAAAAAATGCATAAGAGTGATATGACATTGTTAATCTTGTTACATGACTCTTATTATTGATATGACAATGATATTGACAATGATGCGATAATGATATAATAATGATGTGATAATGTTGTAATTGATACACCGTATAATAATTCTTTAAAAGGGAAAAATGACTAATAATAATACAAAAAAAAATTAGACACTAATGATCTTTTTTTAAAAATTCAAATCGTTTAACATATTTTTGATTAATTAACACGTTTACTAATGCTAATATTTGAAGTTAAAATTATATTTTATCGCGAATAAAAAGACATTCTTAGAATTCAAATCGAATTTATTATTCAATCTTTACGGTTACATTGACATACGCAATGTACTAAATCCGTAAACATATTGCGAATTGACGATTCTTTTAGACCAATTATCGTTAATTGCAAGTTTTAACCAGTTTGAACAAGCTTGAATGAAAGATTCCCCCATATTGATTGGTCATAGGCCACCGATAAGATGTTTACACGACCAGTTTTGTACTGGTTTTAATCGGTTTTAGGTCACGAACTTCTAGATCTTTGGCCGAGATGAAGACAAAAATTATATAAGTCTTTGATTGTAACTTATAATGTTAACAACGTAATTTCAGAAAGGAGTATTAGAAATAATGCCGTTTCTAAAATATTGTACAGTCTTTCATTACATTTTGTACAAGTAATAATTACGAATAAATCGATTATATTATATATTTATATATTTATATATTCTGTTATTTTATTATTTTAATAGAATAACATTACTGAGGCATTCCACTGTTAACCTTTGACGGAAAAAAAAAACAATTCTTTTTACATATTTCTTAAAGTAAAGGGAATAACCCTTGAAATATCTAGAGTTCAATTCTATATTTGAACTTTTAAAATTAACAAAATTACAGCTCTTTGAATGATCATTAACGATATCACGGAATATGTACTGCAGATAGATGGCAACGTTATGATTTCAAGAAAACTTGGATATTGCACGCTGATTATATATTATTTTAGAATGTATTTTGAATAATTTATTCAAGAGGAATATTATATATCTTGAATAATTTATTTAGAAATATAAATATAAAATACCAATGAATTCCTAAATTTATTGGATTTTGAATTTTGATTCCAAAACGAATTCATTTAAAGCCATCAGTTGTTACAATTTTTATATGCTTGAATCTTTGTATCTTTAACGAAATACGTGATATCTCATACCCTTTATGTTAGAATTAAATCAATATAATTATTTTTTTGATTTCTTTTAGCCTACGAAAGTGTAAAAATTTAATAAACAATAATAGTTTAATTTCAAACTGTCGTCACATTTTTGATTTTTGTATGTTTTATTTCATTTTAGTATTTACTATAGTCAAATTCGTCGTAATTTAAAAACATTTTGGTTTCTTTTATTTAAGCAAGCAAGATAACTGAAACCACGGAAGCCTTGAGAACATTTTTTTTTTAAGCAAGTAATCCAGTTTTTATGCTACCACCAATATTAAGTATCTATCTTTAAAACGCTTGAAAATATTACTGAAATATGGATAAATATATGTAAAATGCTGGCAATAAAAGTTATATAATCATGTAACTTTAGTTACATATTTTATCTATAAAAATTATATAGTTTTTCAGAGAAAGAGCCAAAAGAGGCTTAAGAAAACGCATTTTACAGTAGAATACCTTCTTAATTATAAAGAAACTTATACAAATTATTTGAACATTTAATATCGAGGGACTTTGAACTCTGATGCTCCATCCAACACTGTTGTAGGCTTTCTTTTGTTCATAATATTTTGAATTTTCTGCCATTCTCTGTCTAATTCAGCTTTCTCGTTCTTTTCTTTATTATACTTCCTTGTTCTCCTCCCATCAGCCATTTTTACGCCATACTGAAACGCTGCTTTTGGCAAAGCTTCTTTGTTGTTCATATATTCACTGTACTCTTCAGGTGTATCAAAATCCCATCTACCAATAGGACCTTTTTTATTGCCAAGATCCATTTTGGTATAATCTACTTCATCATCCGAATCGTCTATAGCATCTTGCATCTCATCCAAACCTGGATAACATTCTGCATAACCTTCTGGCTCTGCAGCCAATTTATTAAGGAGTGCACCTTTTTTCGGAGCATTACTATCTGAATTGGAAGGTGTAATGGTTGGTAATTGTGGAGTGTTCACTTTATCATCTGTGTCCAAACTGTTGTCTGGCTTATCAAAGTAAGAACCTTTCTTCTTCTCCCTTGGTTGATTTGGATCTTTCTTACCAATTGTTGGGACATAATCACCAATGTCTCCATAGATACTTTCATTTTGTGGTCTTGGAGCAATATCCATATCATTCATATCATCAGGTTTGGACCTTCCATCTTTATTCTTTTTTCCTTTTTTCCCATGACGATTTCCTTGACGAAGGTAAGATAAAATTTGTGCCAGTTTATTTATTACAATGTCATTTGTTGTTAAGGTAGGAGTATTGTCTATGGTAGGTACATCTGCTTTACTCCTAATTAGAGTAGTCGGTATATCCACGTCCGTATTTTCGTCGTCCAGTTCTATTACATAAGCCATGCGACCAGGAGTGAATAGTTCGTTTCTTTCAATCTGTTTGGATTTCATAGTCATAATTGTTCTATAAACATTGCGCCCTATTTTGGTTTTAAATTGCATTTCATCGTCCTTCTTTTCTCCTTCCTTTTTATCCTTTTTATCCTTTGGCTTTACTAACTTTTCCATTTCTTGTTCCTGTCCATGCTCCTTTGCTTCTATTTCACTACGTACCTGTAAAATAGAATATTATTCTTAATATATCTTTATTTTTATAAAACAAATGAAGGTATTTTTATTCTAGACATTTACCTTTTGAAGAAGAGCATAATCTAATCCTTTTACTAAATGAGTGTGTTCCATATCACCACCCAAAAATTTGGATTGTTGAATCATTTGCCTCCTACGTTCAGCTGCATCCATTCCTGATTTTAAATCTGGTGCAACAGCACGATATGCACTAGCACTATTCATTGGATCCTCTGCTTGATAATCTTGGTTTGTGCCGTCCCTACGTTCTCTAGCTCTGTCCCTGTACTTCTCTGCCAATTCTGCCATTTTATCCTCTTCCTGTTTCTTCAATTTGGCATAAAAGCTTTTCTTCTTTCTCCGAAGTTCAGCACGACTACCACCACTGACATTTGGAGTTTGTGCAGTCTTTGCACTGGCATCTCGAGCAGTCCCAGGTATAGAAGCTGGAGTTGAAGAAGGAACAGATGCTCTTGGTGTCATTAACAGTTTCCGAAAATCATCGTTCGTTAAACGAACGGACATTCCCATATCTTCTTCCATTGTTTCTGGCATTTTGATTATTGTACATAAGTTTTCTGAAAGATTGAGGTTAGTTTGTTGACAATAACGAAATTTTTATAAGAAACGAAAACAAAGCGAAGTTTCGAGAGTATAGATTGAAATATGCACCTTACATAAATGTTAATATTTAAACATTCTTTTAAAATTAATATTTATCATAGACTTGTTTGGATAAATATCATTACACAAATATCCATCAACAAATATTGCAGTGGTACTGTCATCTAGCGGAAAGCGGTTTAAGACCTTTTAATTCAAATTCTTCGAATTAGAAAAATCAGATTGAATTTCTAATTCTTATTGATTCTTTCGGGTAATAATACACTATATCAACATTTTTTAATTTTTCAAATTTTATTTTATACCAAAATAATAATAATTTTCCAGAAGTAGGAAAAATTATAAGTACTAATTGCTTTAAATATTAAAAACTTGTTTTACAGTATCTATGCAATCAACATAATGGATTGTAGCCTTTCCTAATGTAGGATTGGCTACATAATGTACAAAACGAGTGATTCCATTGCATGCGGCTCCATATTCTCCATTTTTGTTTATTGCAATCACTGCTCCAGTGAATGTAGGATAGTGTTCAGCAATCCTGCTAATTGCTGTGGTTGCAGCATCATTAGGAGTAGCACCTCGACGCATTTCTTCTACAGCCAAGAAACTAAAGGATATATCTAGTTTAGGAAATTATAAAATATGTGGAAAAAGTTGTTTAATCCACTGAATTATCCTTTTACCTTGGTAAAAAACGCATCATGATGTCTCCCTCACCAGTTGCAGCTGCAGCACCAACATTTTGGTCAGCATATGCACCTGCACCAGTTATGGGAGAATCTCCAATGCGACCAGGAATTTTATTTCTGGCACCATTTGTCGATGTACCAGCTGCTATATGCCCACTTAAATCTATAGCTACAACTCCGATCGTATCGTGGTTTTCTTCATTTACATATGACTCATGTTCTTTTGAATTATTTAACATGGTATCTTGTGAATGATAGGGACCACAGCTCTTTCTTGGGTCTGGAGCTACATTCTAGAAAAATATAGGTTTACATGAAGAATTATTATTTATATTAAAGATAATTTACCTTCCAATAGTTAGGCTGGCAGTTGTTTGCTTTCCAATCTAACCACATTTTCTTTGATTCTTCAGTTTGTAAAGATTCTTCCTTAAATCCCATTTCAACTGCAAATTTTGTTGCCAATTCTCCACCAATTAAAGAATGTTTTGTGTTATGCAGAACTTTGCGAGCGACTGAAATCGCATTTTTAACATTTCTTAATAGTCCTACACCACCTACATCCATGGTCACCCTAAGTAAGTATTTTTTAAGTAAATATTTTAATAAAAAGGAATATGTTGTGTAAAATATGCGTGCAACTGTATCGCAAATGTACCCATCCATAATTAGTGCATCTAAAGTTGTTTCACCAGACTCATCTGGACTGCCCCCATATCCAACAGTTTTCCTGCATCTCTGTTGTTCACATAAACTACAACTTTCTTCTATGGCATCCAAGGCACTTCTACTTTCAGTGTTCAAAATATTCCATGCTATAATGAAACTGTTATTATACTATGATTATTATTTTTATGACGTTAAAAATAATTACCTCGTTGTGCAGCATCTTCATAATTCCAGGTAATAACTACCAAAGGAATATTACCATTAGAAGTAGAAGCTTCTCTACAAAGTATTAAGCAACCACATATAACTAAATAGACAGCTAATATAACCTTCATGTTTGAAATATAATCAAGGAGCTACTGAATAATACAGAGTATTCATGACCTGGATGGATCTTTATCCATAGGCAAAGAGGGGATATATCTCTATGATGGTAGGTTGTATATACTTATAATATTGTTTCAATACAATATTGCTTAGTAATAGGTATATCATAATCTATAGATATTAATAAAGTTAATTAAATCAATTGTAAACATAATAAATGAACTATTTTTATTTCAAATTTATCTAATATGTAATCATATACGATATTTCAGTAAAATAGTAAATGCAACACAAATAGCATTCCATAATACATTTGCATTTACTTAACACGAGTAATCTTATCTGGTTTGTGGAAAAATTTAACAAGATATCGAGTCCAATGAACGTACTATGATAAATTATAAATCTTATCTTATCAACAGTATATTTAGTATAGATAGTTTTGTTTAGTCACAGACAAAGTATAGAATAGATTTATCATCACTTCAAACAAAATGTAATATAAATCTATTACCTTATGAGAATTCGTTTTTCAAATTCTGAAATACCGATTGTACAAAATAAATCATATCAGAGCTTTCATTATGTGATTTACGATTTATAGCGGTGAATTTGGGAATTTGGGAATTAAGGTATATTTAATTCAACCAAAGTTGATAAATAGGTTTTTACAAAGACCCTCTTTTGTTAAATTCTTATGTAAATAAATATGCACGTATATTATATAATATTTTAAAAATTGATGACAATTTGCCGTTAATATTTATTATGCATATAAACATAAATGAGGTATAGAATAAACCATATTTTATGTATTTTCTCGGTTCGGTTTCCAGGAGCACTACACTTTAGCATTTCCTTACCATTTCCGTATCACTCGCAATGTTGCCGACGAAGTGTGTATTCAAAGTATATACAGTATTCTATTTTTAAGATAAAAATAAATTTTCATTTATAAAAAATAACTATATAATTTATAACATAGTAAAGCATATCTAAATTTTGTCAAATTGAACAATAATGCTTGTAAGCAGGATCAAAATAAATAAGAAATGATATAAATTAAGAACTTCATACTGTATTAAAATTAATTTTCAGGCGATTTAAAGAAATTAGAATGTGCTTTTGTTTTTAATGTTTCTTGATATGTCTATTCTTTAATTTATTTTAGCTATTTTTGTAATTATTGGTCTAATTAAATGCCAATGTTTTTTTTATTCATACATTCTAATTTAGTATTTCGTATTTATATTTGATCTATGAACTGCTTTCATGTGATATGTATAAATTCGATGTTATGAAAAATATTAATTTTTTATATACCTAAGAAATTGACAATAATGATCGAAGAATTGATGAATGATTAATTATATAACCTTGAATAAAGATTTTTAATCACATCGTACAATGAATATTACATACCATACATACATATATGCTCATCCATACTATACTGTCATTAAATGCATTTATTTTTGACATACGAGTTTGTCATGCAAATCACGTTGTACATACAAAAATTGTATATTGAATTGTGTGAATTGTATTTGTCACTGTCACTGTCAATTGTAGCGTAATCGACTTTTACATTTCGTTAACGATTTATCAATTGAAATATTCCTATATGGCTTATAAAAATGTATAAAATTTTTATTTACGATATCAGAAATTTTTCTTATTTTTCTTAGTGACTTATCTATATTTTGAATATTATTATTAGAAAAGTGAAGATTCTGCGATATTTTCATAAACCCATTGTGGGTCATAATAGTTACAAAATATCCTGGTGTGGTAACTGGATCTTTTGTGTAATAATTTGCAAATTAGGTATTCGAACTATACTTATTAGAATATAAACGATAGTATATAATTTTAATTTTTCGATAGTAATTTTGAAAATTTTTAAAAGATTTTCTTAAAAACATGTCGTATTTACTCGTTCCTATCAATTTCCATGCGTTTTTCTTCTCTAATAATTAGTATTTTCCAAATAAACAGTTGTTTTAAAACAAGCAAATACATTTTATTTAGTCATGAATAGAATCCTATAAGTACATAGATACGTATATATATATATATGTATGTATAAAGATGAAGTCATAAACATTACTTGCATGCGGTTACTAGTAAGTAGAGAAAAAGATATAAAGAATTGATTACAAATTACATATATACTTTTGTCGTCTAGCGTGAATCGGATGAGTTTCTCACGGGGCCCAAATTCTATAGTTAGAGCGATGCACTGTGGGACCGATGCGCCAAAAAGCAACAAAAAGCAACAAAAAGCAACTAAAAGCAACAAAAAATCATTTTAGAAAAGTTTGATTTTAAAAAGAATTTTTTTTCCAAGCAAATTAGGATTATGGGGCATGATATGTGTTGCGACGGCAATAATAGGTGGAAAACGCGTCTAGCCGTTCCTCTTCAGAATCGACAAATTATAAATCAAGACGGTAGCGAGAAGTAAAACACAACACATCAAGACGGTAGTCAGCAGTCATACAGAAAACACAAGATGGTATTGAGGAGTCAAAAACATAAGACGGTATTTAGAACACGAAGAAACAAGACGAAAACGGCAAAGGCGGAGAAGATACACTCTACACACAAATCATTCATACAACTCATCAAAACGTGTAATAAAGTGTAAATACACCACAAACTGCGCTTTATTACACCACCGAAGTGCTCAGTGTCTCGTAAGTGACGCGACACACTGAGAAGAGCGTGGAGATACAATATCAGCCTACGCCACGTTACATTTTGTGGTACTTCGAGCCGAATTCAGCCTTGGCACTCCACATCCACGCTACAATATGGTACCATTTTTTTTAACATTCATCCATTTTTAACATCACTACACGACTTTGAAAAAGTCGAACTTCAAATTACGTAAAATTATCATCCTGTCAGTGAACTAAACGCCAAGATCTTTTTTTCTTCGGATTTGGCCAGTAATGGCGACATTTATTATCGTTAAATTCCATCTCGTTACGGGAGCACCAATACGCCAACTATACGATAACTATCGATATCCGCCTGCAGGTTGCAAGGATCAGAAGTGGAAGAAACTATCCGGTACACCTTCAGATCATTGGCTAAGAATGAGATATAAAATGAAATAGACCAAGGTGAGAGGCCCGTGGGACAGATTCATTATCACGAGCTGAGAGCGACCGATTAGGTACGAGAAGAACGAAGCAAATAAGGACCACAGTTGCTACTTTATCCATCAAAATACCATGACTCGCGTTGTCAAAAGCGTTTCTCAAATCGAAATATATCGCGTAGACCTGCAAGTTCTGCCGAGTATCGGAGAGAATTTACTCGAGAGAAGAAAGCTTAACTATAGTTGGTGACTATGTCACCACGGTATTTAGAAGCACCATCAGCCGACAGGTCGAGACCTATCGTCATCTGTGAAAACGAGAGCAATTATGCTATTCGTTCATTTCCAAGGGAAAATCGCCGAAGAAAGAGATAAATTAAATATATGGGGATGAAAGTTTTCGGCGTGGATGACGTATGCAAGTGGATGGAGTGGAAAGAATATTTATGTCGGAGTGTAGATTGCGAGCAAAGAGTGAGTCTTGTTAAAGAATGAGTAAAAGAAGAAAATTGAGAGATTGAAATAAGGGCTTGAAGATGCGAGAAAGGACAATGATAAACAGCGTGTATTAGAGTGTGAGAACTTATAATTAGACCTCTTTATGATAAAATTATATTATTATTACAACTAGAGATCTTGTGTTTTTTACTTTTCGTCTTCCTAACCCCATCCCCCTAACACGTGCGATTTAAATGTAAAATTAAACTCTACAAATATAATCCACAGAGGTCTAGATAATACGTATTTACATTTTTTTTAAAATATCGGCGGTATCCCCATCATATGCAAGTGACTTTCTCAGATTCTCAATCTCCAGCGAAACTTGGCTGATATTAACATCCAAAGAGGAAACGTGTTATCTGTCCCTTAGGAAGGGAATTAGATTTCCTCTTGGAATTCACAAATTTTCAGAATACTTTAATGTTAACACATATACTCTCATCGATTGCGGCGACATAGCTTTTTATTCGGATTTAATCTTTATCGAAGTATAAATAATCATAGTAACTATCTGAGAATTTATATTTGCTATGAATCTGTTTTTTCTAAGCTCGGAAGAGAATCGGGAAAAGAATTCGGAATGAGATAGTTTCAATCGCATAATTGAAATATTCGTGTAAGAGATCAATTACTTCGTTGGTAGATAAATGCCTTAAACAGGAGTCGCATTGTCAGTCCACCGAATCAAAATAATCGACAATCGAATTGAAACTGTATTGTTCTGTACTGTACAAGTCACATGTAAATTCATGTTCATTTCTTTGTTATTTCTTTTCTCTGAAGGATAGAAACAAAATTATTTCCCTAATATCATCGTCATTGCTAAGAGCCAGGTGTAACAGAGATCGTCTGGTATTTAAATAGTTGTGAATTTGTCTGAAATCGCAAAGAAAACAGGTATTATAGGATGGCGAAAACTGGTTTTGAGACACCAAAAAGTTGAGAGAACAACAACAACAGAATAACACAAACACAAAATTCATAAAACTATTTTAACTTAACAAAGATAACGCAACGAAAACACACAGAGACCCACTCTAATTTAACTCTCTTTCCAACACCGAGTGACTCATGCTCGTGCCGGTCACAATTAATTTCTAAGGACCCTGCTTTCACCTCCCCGTAGGGACCGCGCAACTTAATTTTGTTACACAAAATAACTTCCATTTGCTTCTAGAAAATATTGATCGGTTTACAATTTGTTTTTGTTGGCAATGGTCGATTCGCGATTTCTTTCCGAAATGGTATCCTACAGTATTAATAATAATATTGAAAATAACAGTCATTACTGTGTGTCCGAGGATCTCTCCTAAGATTAAAATGAGATGCAATATTGTAATAACCCACGTAAAAGGACGAGGTATCAAACGATTATGTTAAAAGATTTTCGATACATCGGAAGCGATGAATAACGATTAACTGGAAACTGGGGGAATGCACACTGCATCTAGAATGAAACTACAGTTAGGGGATGTAACCTTGAGAAAAACATGCTCGATGTTAGCACAGTTATGTTGAACCGAGGTTATCGAGAAGCGTACGGAATTCTTGATGGCTATAAGTACACCTCTTCTTCTCTCACAATTATGTAGGATTGGAGCAAGCGCGGTCCTGAAAGAATGTTAACAGTGTTTGGGACATAAGACGAAAGTGACCTCGTGAAAGAGGATCGATTGTAAAATATATTTATGACAGAGTCGACTGCGAGAAAGAAGCGAAAGTTTACCAATGCATCCTGAGTGTTTCAAGTACCTGGCCTACCGAGGTAGGAAATGCGTAATTGAGAAAGAAAGTCTGAATATGAAAGAAGACAGAGTGTAAGATTAAATAGGAGTACAAGGATGCGAGTAAGTCAGTGTTTTAGAGCCAGTCGTAGAAGTCAGTTTAAAGTCGTCAGTTGTCAGTCTAAAAATTATCAATTGCGAATCGTAGAAGTCAGTCTCAGAAGTCAGTTGTAAGAAAGTTTTCAGAGCGTGGCCAGTCGAGACAAGCGTTGCATAGTTACTATTCTATTATATTAATTCGTTAGTCTATTAATAAATTATTATTTTGTTCTGTTAAACATTGCAATATTATTCTAGTCGATCCCTCCAAGTACGATCCTAAAGTTATTAGTGCTTGCATTTCGGTTCATTGTCAGTCGAACATATTCGGTTCGACGATATATATACGGAGAAGCCTAATTCATCGATTAGGCGTTTAAAATTTCAGGCGTTAGCGATGTTTTCGATAGGATAAAGATATCATACATTTTAACAGACACTGAGGTGTTGATACGTATGCAAATTCGAATATTCCAGTACTTCGAAATTCGAATCGAACTAAAGCTCAAATTTCGAACCGAGCCGAGAACTCGAAACAACTTATAGTAGCGTGAAACGAAATCGGACGGTTCAAACACAGACCGAACAGTTTGAAAGAACAAGCAGTTCGATCGTGTAATGGTTTATCAATCAAGTGTCTTGAATAATTCGGTATCCGATGCACATTCGATGGGTCCGGTTATTCGAACCCATTTACTAATTCGAGTTGTTAGTTCAGTTCCTTTCTTCCAAACTTTCTAACATTACCCTTGCTGTGGCGTGACCTTTGTTCTCAGACCCATGACGTTTTGGTAGTGTAAAGGTAGGAAAGGAGATGGCTGGGTTAAATAATTCTAATTCTCGGTGGCCGATTATATTTTATTCTTTTTCAGTATTCTCTAATCTTTCACGTAAAACTGTCCTCATAAAATTGTCCTTTCGCTGCTCGATCTGCCCCTTTTAAAAGTGGGCAGCTCCTTTATCTATCCACGGATGGCCGCTTCATTTGAGATTCCGGTTATCCTCCTTCGAGTGCTATCCTCGAGTGCTCCTCACTCACGCCGCTCCTCATCGGTAACCGGAGCTCGCTTACTCTTGCAGTAGTAAATAAAATATGTAACTCTGTTTACCCTTTTCTGGAGAGTGGACAGGGCAATAGCACTGACGATCTTGGATCGCAAACCCCTTTTCATACAGATCCGCTAATTTTTTATCTAAACTGTGTGATATATGTACTTTTGTTTTGTCAAATGACAAAATAACTATAAACGCGTCATTTTTCGATTACATTAACTTATAATGATAAATCTAAGTAATTTTCAATTGTTTAAAAGTACTATGCAATAAAAATAGTAAATAAACTTTTATTTTGCAATCAGAGTAAAACATTATTACATATATATCAAAATTTGATAAAGATATTATATTTATACAATGTTATAAATCTTATTTACAACATATTAAATATGTTCATGAGATTTATTTGTGGATTAATATTACGTTGACGTATTCGTAAAAGAGTGTAAAATGATCATTGTATTCAAACTGGTCAATCGTGTCGTTCCTTAAATTTATTTGAACTTCATTCGAAATTGCGATACCATTTATTATTGAATTATAATATTAGTAGTTCATTCTAACGCTAATTTTTAAATAATAATATAACGATATAATGATATATTTGTATATTTGTCAAATGTTTTATCTAGAAAGTTGCGGCATAAAAGTTCATTCGTAACTTTTTAGTAGTAAAAGTAAATTTCTTACATTGCAAATATAATTATTTTCGAAAATCTTGTGAATAAGTGGAAAAGAAATTTGTATTTATTTTATTAATAACTTTGGACACGGAAATTCATTTGTGCAATCAAGACAGATCAGAAATTGAAAAAATTAAAAACCTAATAATATTTTCGGATATTTTTCCGAAAAGTATCAGTGGTCGATAAACACGAAATCTTGCGATATAATGGAGTAGCAGTAGGGTAGAGTAGATCCTTAGCTCCTATCCCATAAAATTTTTGTTTCGGATTTTTAATTGTTTTCCAGATATTAGTGAAAACATTTGATATTATACATAGCAATCTATTTATAAAACATTGCTAACACGATCATCTTCTCTGTAGTGATAGTAATAGTACCAATTATCGAATTGCCGATAACGCATAGTGACATCGAATTCCAATTTCTATAGGATATGTTACTTAAAATCTGCCTGTCTTTTTTTCAAACTATATTACATTTTAATTCCGGTGTCAGAAAAATGTTGAACTTTATTAAATATCTATCGAAAACTATATATAATAAAGAATCGATTTGTCAAGAGGTAAGTACACTTGAATGCGTTAGAAAAAGGAAGAAGGCAATAGCCAAAGGAAGGAAGATAGACAAACCAAAACCAGGTGCTTTTCGAAAATACAGCCATACCTTTTCCTTAAAATCGTCTCTTTAATCACAGATACCTGTTATATCCAAAATGAAAAAGTATAGTATATAATATATGGTGTAACAATTGTATTTTGCTTTAAATGATTTTAATTACAAATAATCATTAAGTGATTAGAATTGTTTTTATTACTGGTAATCGTTATTTTGATTATCGTAAATATGTTATAATATATAATAATAATAATGATAATAATAATAATATAATGATGATAATTACTTTATTCTTTTTTTCATAAATATTCATATTTCTTATTGCTTAATATTTTTTATAATTAATTTTATGTCATTAATGGATCCTATTATCCGTAATGGCTATGAAAATTGGCAATGCTCAAAGGTAACGAAAATGTGTTCCTGATCACGATATTCGTTATTTATAACCAATTATAATTGTATAATATTATAATTATATGTAATTAAAAACAATTCCTTTCATCTATAGTACTTATTCGTAACCAAAAAGAATACTAATTATTTTAATGGTTACTCATAATTAGAATAGATAAAACTTTTAATTATTACGTTTTTTAAAGGATTTCTTTAAAATTTAAACAAATTTTAACTAACTGTTTTAATAATAATCTGAACAAGGATAAACCAACTACGTGTGCTGTAAATATACTGTGTATACACATAATTCTGAACCTTCTTGGCATTGATAACATGTACAGTCTTATATGTCATTTATAATTTTACAATTTAGTTTCAATTTCATGTACGTACTACTAATATTGTAATGTATTATTTTTTACTAAATTTTTGACATTGTAAATGATAAAATAATAAGGAAGTTTTAAAGATAGAAAAATGCTTTGGATAAAATGCTATAAAAATACGTATGCAAATAAGTGGCTTAATAAATAATATTAAGCCTATTCTATACCTCGTTATGTTTATATTCTATACCAAATTTGTGCTTATTCTTTGCCTGTGCATATATCACAGACATCAACCAGATTCTATACCTTTCCGTGCTTATATCTCGCTTGTGTTTATGCACATTCAGTTTATGATATATAATACCAACATATACCATTCTTGTTATACTTTCATAAGAAGATGCTAGATGTCACTTTTTAATTCTCGCACGTGGTTGAAATTAATATAACCAATATAGTGGTACATAATTCGAAATAAAATATGAGAATAATAACTGGACGTACTCAAATTTGAAAAAAGACATCACTTTATTAATTATTTTATTACAAAATTTTTGTTTTCATATAGAAATAAAAATGGGAAGAAAGAAATATAATTGGAAAGCAAGAAACATTGCAGAAGTTGAAATTGATAATTCGGTGGTTACAAAGGTATTTTCATTATAATATCTTTTATTCGCAAAAAATGTAAGCATAATACTTCTTTTGAAATAGATTCCCATCGATATTGAACATCGTGAAGATAAGTATGATAACTGTAATGCTTTAATTCTCCCAAATGAAAAGAGAAAGGTAAAAAGCAAAGTTAAAAAAATCACCACTACTCGATTATTATCTAAAAAACGTAGAAAACAACTAGAAAAAGTTGTAGAAAGAAAGAAGAAAAAATTACATGTAAGTTAATGAATATGACATCTTTTCTTCTTTTTATTTTAAACACATTTTTATTCTAAATAGAGGGCTGAACTTTTAGAAGAATTGGCAAAAGTCCAAGCACCGCAAGAAGAGTTAAAACAATATGTATCATTGACCAGTATACAAACTAAAGGGTTAAAACGACATTTTAGAGAGACAGAATTATTTGTTATAGGAAATAAGAACAAATTAAAGAATAAGAATGAGGATGATGTATTAGAAGTGCCCATAAATGCCATTAAGGGTGCTAAAAAGAAAAGACTAGCAATTTCAGAAGAACAAAAAATACAGGAAGCTATTTCAGATCCAAATGTTATCGGATTTGATGTAAGTTATCAATAAAGACAAATTATACTAATTATATAATAATTATTATGTATTATAGGAATCTAGTGGCAGTGAATCCGAATCTGAGGCCAATGGCAGTAAATCTGAATCTGAGGCCAATGACAGTAAATCCGAATCTGCGGCCAATGGCAATAAAGATCAGCAAAAAGACAGTACAACAGAAATTGTATTTTTAGAAAAAAGTAAAAATGAAGAAAAAAAAGAACACATTTTAAATAAAGAAAATGACTTGATAAACAATGTAACAAGAGATGTAGAAGAAGAGAAAAAACAAGCTATTGCTATAAATAAAGAATCATTAAAACCACAACAAGTAATAGAAAGAAAACCAGCAATGTTTGTAACACTACAAAGAAAGCCAGAGATTGAAGTAACTAGATTAAAGTTACCAGTAGTTGCAGAAGAACAAGTTATAATGGAAGCAATTAATGAAAGTTTCGTCGTAATAATCACTGGGGAAACAGGTAGTGGTAAAACAACTCAGGTACCACAATTTCTCTATGAAGCTGGGTATGCTCAGGAGAAGTTAATTGGAGTAACGGAACCCAGAAGAGTGGCAGCTATATCTATGAGTAAACGTGTTGCTGAAGAAATGAATCTCACTGAAAAAGAAGTTTCTTATTTAATTCGTTTTGAAGGAAATGTTACACCAGAGACAAAAATCAAATTTATGACTGATGGTGTATTATTAAAAGAAATACAAAGTGTATGTAATTATTTGAGTAAACTAAATTGAAATATTTTGAAGTATTTATAATCGAAATCTTTAACATTTTAGGATTTTTTACTGACGAAATATTCGGTAATTATTCTAGATGAAGCACATGAACGTAGTATATATACTGATATTTTGATAGGATTGTTATCACGAATTGTACCGCTTCGAAATAAAAGGAAGAGCCCTTTAAAGCTTATAATTATGTCTGCTACATTACGTGTGGAGGAATTTGTAGAAAATAGTAAATTATTTAAAATAAAACCACCAGTATTAACAGTGGAATCGAGACAGTTCCCTGTTACCATACATTTTAACAAAAGAACAAGCACCAATTACGTTTCTGATGCATTAAAAAAAGTTATAAAAATACACACTCGTCTCCCTCATGGTGGAATCTTAGTATTCTTAACAGGTATATTCTTTATGTACTAAACTTTTTATGAAGTTTATAACACTTGTATTTTAAAAATATATATTGTAAAATGATTTAGGCCAACAAGAAGTAAATCTCATAGTATCTAAATTACGCAAAGCTTTTCCTATAAAGAGTAAAATGAAAACTCCAAAGAAGGTAAAAGAATCGCAAAAAAATAAAGATTCTTCAAAAACAGAAGATATTGGAAACAAAAATGATACTAACGATATTGATAATAACAATGATGATGATGATGATGATTTGCATTGGGACAAAGCTATTCGTTATAACAAATTACGACAAAAAAAGCAAATTCAATTACCAAATATTAACCTGGATAAGTATGTAATAAAATTTGTTTACTTTTTCAGTTACTTTATAATTACATATCCATTTTCAGTTACTCTGTAATTCCTATTGATGATACACATGAAGACTTTATTAACGTAGATGATGACGAAGAATTACAATTAGATGAAGATGAAGATGAAAATATCATGATTGATCTAAAGGCCTATACAAATGATCAACCACTATGGGTTTTACCATTGTATTCTCTTCTTTCAAGTTACAAACAAGCAAAAGTAATTAAAAAATGGAGAGAGTAATTCATAATTAAGAGATAAGAAAAAAATTGTCAATTTTAGGTATTTGAGCCACCACCAGAAGGTTACCGCTTATGTGTAGTATCTACAAATGTGGCAGAAACTTCCCTAACTATACCTAATATAAAGTATGTAATAGATTGTGGACGTTGTAAAACAAGAATGTATGATAAAGTAACTGGAGTGAGTACATATAGAATCTGCTATATTAGCAAAGCATCTGCTAATCAACGGGCAGGAAGAGCTGGTAGAATTGGTCCTGGACATTGTTACAGGTATTCATACTAGTACATATTTTTAAATTTAATAAATAAACATAATTTTTCTATTAAATATTATTTATAGGTTATATTCTTCAGCAGTGTTTAATGAACAGTTCGAACAGTTTAGTCAGTCAGAGATTCAAAGAAAACCTGTGGATGATTTACTTTTACAAATGAAAGTTATGAATATTGATAAAGTGGTGAATTTTCCATTTCCAACTCCACCAGATACTATACAATTGAAAATGGCTGAGAAAAGACTTGTGACACTTGGAGCTTTGCAGAAACCTCTTTCTAATGAAGAAAGTACTATTTGATAATCCTTAGTTAACTGATCACCTTTATTATACAGCATGGGATACTTAAAACTTCCCACCTAAATAATTTGTTCGTTTTTAACAATAAAAGAAAAGTATCAAACAAAAATTGTTTAGTTCCAAGGTTCATATAAACTGATGACAATAATTTTATGGATGGAGGCATAGAGGACAAGATTTGAAACAATTTATTTTCTGTTAGTTAGCCTTAAGTGATCTTGAATGATCTTCATTCATAGGTCATTGTATTTACCTTAAAAGCCTTAATATGAAATATAAATAAAAAACTATGTTATTCCATTTAAAAAAACAAGATTGATCTTTATATATACTCTATGCCTGCACCCATAACAAAATTATTATCACTAGTTTATTTATCCCTTGGAACCGAGCAACTTTTGTCTGATACTTTTTTTTTACTGTTGAAAACAAGCGTTTATTTAGGTGGAAACTTTTTAAGTGTCCCATGCTGTATAACTATGAAATATTGTACTTATTTCATTTTTAGGTTCTTATAGTGCTAAAGTAACACTACTTGGTAATAGTATCGCTGCATTTCCCGTTACACCTCGTTATGGAAAGATGTTAGCCCTCTCCCATCAACATGATCTTCTTCAATACACAGTGTGTATGGTGGCTGCACTTTCTGTTCAAGAAGTATTGATGAACTCGTACGATATGGACAGTGATGACCGAAATAAATGGATAAAAATGAGACGTTTCTGGGCTGGCACTGGGAACAGCTTACTTCTTGGTATATGATACGAATTTTTATAAAATTATAATTATATTAAAGAATATGAGTTTGAATTATATTAATATTAAAAAATAAAAATGATATTAATCGAATATAATAAATTCCATTCAAAGGTGATCTGATGGTGTTAATCAAAGCTATAGTAGGTGCAGAATATGCTAGGACTAAAGGAAAATTAGAATCTTTTTGCAAAGAGCATGGTCTACGGCACAAGGCAATTGTAGAAATTCGCAAGCTCCGCCAGCAGTTAACAAACGAAATTAATTTAAATATTCAAGATCTAAATCTCACTATTGATCCACAGTATGTATCGTTAAAAGTATTCATACTGTATATTCAAGTAATTTCTTTCTTATTATCAGTTTTAATTCAGGATGAAATTACCAGTAGATATGGAAGCCAATCTACTAAGACAAATAGTTCTTGCAGGAATGGCTGACCAAGTTGCAAGAAAAGTAATGCCAGATGAGGTTAATGAAGATCAAGATAAAATTAAGTGGAAATATGCTTACAGGTAAAATACCAAACATTTCCTGGCGTGATTTGATTAAAAGTTTAATTATCTTTGAATATAAGAGTACCTAATCTGTTTCTTTAGAACAATGGATATGGATGATCCAGTATTTATACACTCCTCGTGTGTTCTGCGGAAAATGTGTCCTGAATGGATAGTTTATCAGGAAATATATGAAACAAATAAAATGTATATGCGTGGCGTTACAGCTATAGAACCTGAATGGCTGCCTAAATTTGCTCCTTCTTTATGTCGGTTTGAAGAGCCTTTAACCGATCCTCCACCAAGGTCTCACACAATTTTAATATTATACTTCTTTTTCTAAAATATAATTGCTTGTTTTCATATACATACAGGTATGATTTAGAAACTGGCAAAGTAATGTGTAGTATGACAGGAACGTTTGGAAGAGCAGGTTGGAAACTACCAGTAATAAATATGGAATATCCATTATCCATAGAGGGAGTTAAATGGTTTGCATGCTTCTTATTAGAAGGAAAAGTATGCCCAAAATTAAAACAGTTCGTTTCCTTGTTGTTATCGAATCCTCAAAGTATTAACAAGACATGGGCTAAGTAAGATCTTAACATAATGGACATAATTACTCAAAATTGAATTACTAACTTGATACAAAATGATGAATATTCTAGGTTAATACCGCGAACGCAAGAAATAACACAGTTATTACTGTGTAATAAAATTATATCGAAAGAACAATTGTTAGAAACTTGGAAAACAGATAGAAATTGTAAGTACATGTTTTTTAGTACATTCATAATCAAAATGATGATTAAAATGATTACTATTAATTTTAGTCCTCCTATCAGCTTATCAAAAATGGTTGCCAGAATCAGCCCATGGACACGTTATGGCCATTTGGCCACCTATATAATAAATTTTATACCTTAATTATATACTTATAGCTAATTATACAATAATAAAACGATATAGCATACTCGTAAATTATTATATTAAATGGTAACTTTGATTCATACTGAAATGATCATTAAAGCCTCCAACGCTCAGGGCCTCTATAATTATATATCTATAGTTATAAATATTTAATATCAGGCAGTAAAACGGAAAACATTGTTGATTGACTTTAAATTTCAATTTAGTTTGTTGAACATCACTTATTACCAATTTATTATCATTAGATTCTGTTTAATATCCTGAACATTTAAATTTTAAAAAAATTTCTAAATTTTCGTAAATCATTGTTAGCAATATCTAACAATGAGAAGAGTTTATTTTAAATTATCATATGGTATTGATTGTTACTCGATCACTTTATCTTTCTCTAACTACATATATCTCACACTACTGTTAGAACATTTGTATTTTTAGCTTCATTAATTTTATGAGTACATTATCTCGTTCAAACCAATCATACAATCGTATATTGTATATATTTGAATCTTTTTGACTGCAAACATCTAATACAATAATATATTTCAACAGCATTTTATTCAAAAAAATTGCTATATTTCATATAATCTACATATAATTTTGGTAGAAGTTTTGTTTTAGTTTTTATAAATTACAATTTACGCATGTGGCACATCATGTATTATTTAATTTGAATGACATTTGAAATAACAACTACTTTTTAAATAAATTATTGTCCTAACTTAGGTTAATATCGATATCTACTAATAAAACATAATGTGCACAAAATGTATATAATGGTAAAAATGCATATAATGAATATTTACAAATCGTTTACAGTTTCGCAAAAAATGAAAATTTGTGCCAGACATTAGTACAATAAACGTCTATTATCTTACACAGTAAAAATAATTTTCATTTAAAATCGTTGGCAGTGCTATGACATCAGTAACGTTTTAACAAACAATTAGAAAGACTAACTAGGTCACTCTGCCTTTACTGCTTTCTTTTCCTTTTTCTTGATTGGATTCTTTTTACAATCTCTATAAATATTGTTTAGATCAAAAGCTGCTTTTATGTTATCCTGTAAAACAACACAAATCTTACTTAATGAATACTTGAAAAATTTTAAATATAAGAAAGTATATCACACATACTAATGAGAAGAGGAATTTAATCAGTTTGCCTTTGTGATCTGCATGTGGACGTCTTTCTGTTTCTTTTCCTTCCTTAAACAAGATTAATGTGGGAAGCTGTTTACTAGTACTAGCATCACTAATGTGATACTTCACTGCAGCATCTGGATATCTCCCTATGTCTACTTTCCCGAATTTCAGATTTTCTAAAGCATATCTATACATGAATGTAATATCATTTTGAATAAATAGTTAAATAATTATACATATTATATAAATAATCAATTGTTACTAACTCTGCTGAAAGTTCAGAGAATATTGGTGCAAAGTTAACACAAGCTGGGTTCCATGCTGTGTAAAATGCAATTAACCACACAATTCTTGTGTCACGGCGCAATTCCTCTTGCAATCCACTAGCACCATGTAAATAGATTACTTTTTCTGGACCTTGATATGTTGGTTCAGGAAACATTAAACCACATACTGTAATTATCAAATTATATAATAATATTCTTTTAAAAGATTACTGTCGTATTAAATAAATACTTACAGATGAATATGATGGCAAATATTATTCCCATGCGAATGTCGGCATAAAACCAAAGAATCAAGTTGGCAATTTTAGTATATACAAAGCTAGATGATAAATAACTTATCATAGTCACACTTCCAGTTTTCCGTGTCCTTATCATTATAACTATCATGAGAAAAAATAGTATCTCTGTCTCTTTCTGAAACACAAATATATCTATTATAAAATATATATTCTGTACAAGTAATTTATCAAAATGTTTCTATATTTAAGTAACTTACCCCATCAAGTTCACACTCATTTTGCGCAAATGCATAATTACATATAATTGGGATACGTTTAGAGACAATGTACGAAAGACTGAGTAAAATATTTATAAAATAATAGGGCTTTAATAGAAGTTGTATATCTTTCTTAAAAGGCATTTTAAAAAAAAAAAAATGTGTAGGTTATGCACGTTGATTAGGATAATATCAAATCGTAAAATTATGGGACAGTAATTTTATCTTATTTTATTGTTAGTTAATGAATAGAAGATGGAACGTTCTTTATTAATGAATAATTAGTTGTAGTACAATTATTTTTTGTACAACAAAAATAGATAAAGCAAACTATAATATCAATTATAAATTCCTCATAACAACGAACACTCATGTACTCAAGTCAAATTTCATATTATTGTTAAAAACATTCTGTAACATTTATTAATTGAATTTAATACAAAAGAGTAAAAAAAACATCAGTATAAATGAAACATGATTATAGTTTAAGACAGTAAAGAGTAAATTAGTGACATAAGTGACTTGATGGATTAATTGGTTGACGTATCATAATATTTAAAATTCAATGAAATAATTCATTTTAAATTTGTTAAAATAATTATTTAATACATTAAATTATTAAAATCGTTTTAGTATATAAAATTAAATTTGTTATTTCATAAATTTTCATAAAATCACAAACGATGTACAAAAAATTTATCACCATAGATGAGAAACAGAATAGACCTTAAACACAATGCTTTTTTTGTACTATTTCTGAGATAACCTGAGTCTATTATCATTTTCGTGTCACATGCGATGTTATCGATTTGGTAGTAGGAAAGACTACAGCGCCAGTGAAACGGTAAAATGTATAATTACATATTACGATATTCAATTGTTATCAAAGTAATTTTTCATGGAACATCTAAATAATTAAAATATTGGAATTTGAAAGGAAAAATTTGTTAAATAGGAGTGATAAAAACCAAAAAAAAAAACATTGATGTATCGATATAGCTGCCATAAGTTTAATTATTATCGATATTAATCGGTACATCGATAGCAAAACATCGATGTTGTAATATTAACATTTATAAAATTCCTTTATAAAAGTCTCGAATCTTGTAGATTTTTTTCTTTGAATTACTCCGGAAGAACCAAAAATACTAAGTTATTTAATATAGTTAAACGATTGCTTTATTAACTTATCATTAAACTAGCTTTTAAAAATAATTTGTTGGCTCATATCGATATAGCCACAAACGTAAGGAAAACTATTAAGCTAATGAAAATAATTTTATTTAGACTTGAATGAAAGAAAGCAGATGTTATATATTCCGTAATAAAAAAACCACAGTTATAGTATACCTGCCACTTCTATAATACAATATGTGTCATACGTCTATTATACTAATTTATTTTTACAACAGAAACATTAATATCTGATGGGAGAAACAAAAATTATCTTTGATCGATACTGTAAGCTAGTATGGTACTTTGTTATGGTATGACATTCTCCTATTTACAATATCTTTGTTTACATTCTTTAAATGAAATAAAGTTGATCGTAATTTTTATATCTGATAATACTCTATCTTATTTTAGGCGATCAGTTCGGAAATTTCTATTTAATAGTAACATTATTCGTATAAACGTTGACATTAGTAATAAAATTCATGATACTTTTAGTTATTCTTTTATCACGAATATGTTTTTTGGTAGTACATACGATTTATCCCTTCCAGAGATATGGGAGTTGGAGAAAGACTGCTACTGTAACATTAACTGACATTGTTGATCATAGATAAAGTTCCAATGACCAATTAAAACAAAATTTGAAGACAGGGAGGAATAAGAGAACGAACTCAAATCTAAAATTTCAGCTTCGGATATTTAATAGTTTCCAAAATATTAATAAGAAACGTTTAACATAATACATTGTATCTTTTGCAAGCACAGGTAATCCCCGTTATAACACGGTTTTTAAATTCTTAAAAACTGCCGTGTTATGCGAATCCATGTTATACGAAACGAAAAAAGAGGTTAGGTACCAAAACTAAAAAAACGTACGATTATTTTTTTAATTAAGAAAAATATGATTACTAAAGTAATTTCGTTAAAAGTATTAAATATTAATACGTATTAAGTAACGTTTGTTTCGTTATTGCTACTAAGCATCGTTAACAGAGTTATTTACTTATTTTCTTTCAGGCGATATATTTTCAACCTCTAAATTTTCTTTAGCATTATCTCGAGTTCTATATTCTACTTTTACAAAAAAAAGTCGTAATTTTCTGTAAAAGATAATACAGAGTTAAAAACTGATTTACAAAAATGGAAGATATAATTACCATTTTCTTCAAAAAGGATTAATAATACTCGGTCGACAATTTTGAATTTATGTAAAATAATAGCAAAATGAAGAACGGAAAGTTTTTAAATATACTTAATCCGCCATAAACAAAATGTATTTTTCTGCATGCAAACCTGATACGACATACAGTTCGAATGAAAAATCTGTTGGTCTTAACACTTATTGTTAGCGGACCGCACGCTCCAGAGCGAACAATACGGTTTCCATCGCGCTCGGGGAACCCGAATAAGGAGCCTTAAAAATTGGTGAATTTCATTATATATTGTGCTTTATAGAAGCAGTTCGTCAGTAATTGCGAACAACTTCAAATGGAGGTAGTGTAAGTAATAACCGAAAACGAGAAACGCGTTGCTAAGGTCAAAATGGGATCGGTCGGGCACCAACTTGCTTTAAAATGGGGAGATTTCCCCGATCGGTCGGCTAATTATAAGTGTTAAAAGCTCTTATTACATGCTGTGCTGTTCGGGAATTTTCTTAATTTTTAAACCGTGTTCTAGGATAGTATGTTATGCGGAGGTTTTTTCTAATTCTCTAACCGTATTAAAGGGAAACTGTGTTATAGAAGTGCCGTATTAGATAGGTGTTACCTGTATATAAGATTCTTGCTATGTTTAGTTGATTTTACACACTATAAGTACCTATTCGCTACTGACTAACAGTGTTTTGTATTTAATGCAGTCAGAATTGAATGCAGTAGAACGAATGAAATTTATAAATATCTTGGAAACAAAATCAGAGCGGGGGTCATTAGATGTATATAAAAAATTGTTCAAAATGTTGATTTCTAGAACATATTCAAAAATCATTGATATCCTGCAGGGCATCTGCTTTTTAAATGAAGACTAAAATTGGTGTGAGTTCTGACTTTGGCGTCCGGTCAGTAATCACGATGGAGTCAGTATTACTAATGATTTGCCGAGCGGTGAGGCAAACTTCGGCGAAGTTGGCGGACCCACACACTGGTCAAGGCCACTCACCTTACCTCCACGATGGTACTCTTGGGACCCAATGGGCCGCTGCCTGCACTACAGTGCTTGCCATTGGGTGCGCAAGAGTGGGTGGCATGAAGGCCGTGGAGACTAATGGTTGGATAATCATATGCAGCTCGACCTAAAGTGGCCCAAGAGCAATTACTTATTAGAGTATCCCTCCTCGGAGCAGACTCCTTACTTCGATTTCTTCGTTGGTTCGATCTGCTCCGTTTGGACATTGGCAGTGTGCAAATCGCACACCACCATCTGCGGAAGAGTATCCCTCCTCGGAGCAGACTCCTTACTTCGATTTCTCCGTTGGTTCGATCTGCTCCGTTTGGACATTGGCAGTGTGCAAATCGCACACCACCATCTGCGGATGTGCCACAAAGGCGAGGAACAACAAGAGCCGTATTGCGCAAAGCTGCTTAGAAAAGACATGATACTTGCTTTTTAAATAATTACCTACTATTGTATAACGTCGAAAGGATAAAAGTTTACTTTAGTGACTCTGTCCTAAATGCATTTATTTTTGTTCATTTTTTTTTTCTTTTTTTCAAAAAATGCTATATTTTGGCATTAATAAAAAATTCTGCTACTTTTCTGTAAAGAACATAAAATTTGGAAATAACCGTAGTATGCATTGATCAATCCCGATGATTTTGAAATATACCAACAATTTATGCAAGTATTTCAAATAGTAAGGCCAAATAGCAATTATTGCTTGAATAAAAGTTGTTTGGAATTTCGTCCTCTTTAAGATTTAGGTTTTCCCGATCTATAGACCTTATCGATGATAAGATATAGCTAGTTTTGAGAAAACTGGAAAAAATGTTGATATAAGGCAAAGTCACTATACCATTATCTCTGAAACGACCAAGTTCTAGATTAATTGGGTCCTTCCCAATTTTTATAACATTGAGATATGTTAAAAGGATGCAAATTTTGAACAACTCTTTCCTTTGCAATATTGTTGAGTTGACTTTAGTTTTCGAACTATTACTAAGATTACATTTCTACGATATTTCGTAGAATTCAGCGTATTCGTATATGCAGGGTGATTGACTCGTTAATGAACTGAAAGGCAGTATGCCGCCTAAACGACGTCTAATCTGACAAATATGTGCAGCGACTATATATACTATACATTTGCGTCTGTCTATGTATAGGTGTAGTAAATGTTAAACGTTAAAATTTTCTGAGTCTACTAGCAAGCGAATTAGCTTATCTTTTTACCTCAGAACCTTCATAGAGGTCATATCAAAAGTTTTATAACACATAAAGTTATCACTGCGATATTTACAGATGGGAACACCACAAGAGAATTAGATTGTATATATAAGGAGTGTATTTAAATCGGGTGACTTTGTAATATTCCGTATTCATGATGAAATAGGACTTGTAACAACATAATCACTATATTCGTATACATATACGTAGGATACAAGGTCTATGATCAGTACGTGTTTTTTTCTAGTCATTTGTATTATTTGTTAGAAAAATAATATTTATCGAAGGATTACAGTAATGCTTGGTTAAATTACAAAAGTTTGGTAGCTAACATTGAAACTTAATGGAGTAGGGAATCTTTTTTTCCAGGAATTGACTTAAACATTGCCAGATAAAGAAGGAAAAGAGAAGTATATACATAGAACGAGAGAAAGCAGGAAGATAAATACAAGACGATGAGTAGCAACGCGTTGCGACGGTCGGAATTCAACACTTCGATTACCACTAAAAAAGTTGTATTTTTCCTGATTATTATGTTATCTTCGTAAAAATGGTATAAATGTACGTTAAGATTCTACCGATTAAAATGAGTTTAAACT